TAATTAACAAAAAAAGAGAAGAAAAGGGAATTGTAGTAGTTATTGTTATATTTTTAAAAATTTTAGTGATGTTGTAAGGCAAGTACAGTTTTATTTTTAGTCTAATACATTCTAGGATTTTAGAGCTTTTAACAATGATGTATTTAGTGAGTTGACTTGTTCAAGTGTTGCAGCTGTAACAGTATGAATGCAAATAAATATGAATATGAATATGAAACACAAAAGACTGTAATCTTGCTACTGCCATGACAACCTCAAACTTGACAGCTATTTAAAAAATTTCCCGTTTTATGGGCCCCAGAAGTTCATTCCTATTCATAACCGTGTGCTACTGGTGCCTATGCTGCGCAATATTACAAGTTCTTACAAACTAACAAATTTCCTTCTTCCTTTCTAATTTCATTTTTCCAAAAGTCCTAGCTGGGGCAAATACATATTTTTAAAATTGGAATTGAAGATTTTAAAAGTGCCAGTTTATGAAAATCAAATTGACGTGTGTACGTTAACAAAGATTTTGTACATATCAGACAGATATCAGCGGAGAAGATCCTGATATATCGAAACCTGCTAGCAACGGTGAAATGAACAATTGGGAAGACTAGTGTTTTTTAAATTTTAAACTATGTGCAGTGTAGCAGATACATGATAGTATACACCTGATGATGGCCGTTTGCAGCCGAAACATGTAGGGTAGAAGAAAGCAAGACAAAAGAACTACAATAAATTGTTGCACTTAGGACGGAGTTTATGTCATATATTGTGTAGAGTGTAACAGGATGCTTAAATATAATATTATATTCATGCACCTCAGAATTTTCCTAATTGCTAATATTCTGGCCCTTTGTTGGACTTGACAATTTCATAAGGGATATTACCTGCACCATACCCCTCGTCTACCAACTACTGTACAACAGTTTGTTATCCCAAAACACATCTGAATTGGAAATGAAAAGATTAATGAACTGTTTCCACATTACATCTCTATTATTAAAACAATACTAAGTGCAATATGAATGTAAGTGAAAGTTCATATGCCTATGATTTCAATATACAAAATTGTACCACTTCCTGTCATTTCACAAGTATCCATTTTGGTTTGATTAATATCAATTAATAGTCTACAAAACTGACCACAGTGGTTCAATGATGTTCAAATGTGGTGATTGTGCTGCTCAGGGAAGATGTTGAAATTCACCTTCAGGCTCTTCAAACCATGACTGAGAAGTTCTAGCTGTGTCAAGGGGGGCTTTGTTATCTTGGAAAACTGCATAATTGTTCAGAAATAATGTCTGGATAATGGAATGCACCTCATTACCCAACCTGTCCACATACTCCCTTGCAGTAAGTTGTACATGAAGAGTAATAATGGGACCAATGAAATACAATGATATTGCTGCCCAAACCATCACAGAACCTCTCCTGTCCTTCACTATTTGAATCAGACATTCCAGATTGTAGGTTTCCTCGGGTGTTCTCCTATTGAAAACTCTTCCCAATGTGGGAACAGTGTGAAGGACAACTCATGTGACCATATCATAAAATATCATTACCAAAGTTTGCAAAAACATTTCCTATGAAACATCTGCAAAAGAAACAACGCTTATGCACTGATTCAGTCACCATTCAGTGCTGTGCAAAACAGCATCAGTGATGTTCATCTTTATAAAGTAGTTAAACAGTTCACTAGGTTAACATTCTGACATACTTACTTATATAATACAGATTCAATTAAACACACTGGTAGTAACAAAATCTGTACCTTTAACAAAAAGTTGGACTTCAAAGTAACTACGGAGCTCATTTTACTGCTTTCGCTTCTCCCCCTGAATCTAATCCTGTCAATTAGAAAACATTTTCAAGGATATATATATATACATACTGTAGCACGTAGACCCATTGCTAAGTAATGACTTTGTGAATGAGTATTGCAAGGCAACAAGATTCCTAAAACCCACCAATGTACTAAGTGGGAAGCAATGTTCCCTAATTGGTCTGTGAGACAGTTGTGTGATGCCACAACAGAAGAAATGCTGGAAGTGGTGTTTTCTTTGTGGTCTGTGCTGAGGTGTCACAAGCAGGACAAGTTTAGAGTTCAGTTAGTTGAGCCAGTTGCCAGCCAGTAAGGACATGAACAAGGAAGTTGAGGGATCTACTGAGTACATGCTGTAGTGAACTGCAGAGTGTGTGAATTAGTGATATGGGTATAGTTACTTGTAGTTATGTTCTGTAAGATTTTAATAAATCAAATTACCAATCCAAACCCCATCTGTAGTCACTCATATACGTGACTGTATACACATGCACATGCGTGCTTTTGCATAAAGAAATATCCATATAACCAAGATACTGGTGACATCTCATGACTTCTTTGTGGTACACAGGGCATACCATCCACAAAATAATTCTGAAACACAGGCTCTACAAATTGTGCTATAAAGAGATTTTCTTGAATTTCTCTTTGGATGGAATACTCTTAACATCACTGCACCCCATCAAGATAACAGCAAAGCTGCTACTGTAACAAGTCTTGTTGGCATACTGGGGGCATGAAGACAAAACTGTATATATTATAGAACTTAACACAGGATGGAGGTGACTGGACTTCACATTCTGCTATCCATTCTATATCTTGGGATAAGGAATCAGGTACCAAACTGATCAGAAGGCTGTGATGGCCATAAAATATTATAAGCTTGGTCATTAAAGAGACAAATCACAGCCTGTACCAGGATACAAATCTTGACTATAAGAACATAATTAAGTCATTTTACTGACTGAGCTATCACAGTCCTTTGCTTTAGTTCTCAAATCACCTTCCCATGTCTTCTCGACATACTTCCACACAACAGACCTGATTGGCATATTATGGATATTATAAACTTCATTACTTTTTCACTGTAAGAGAGAGATGGTGTGTCATTCAAGTTTATGTACAGATCCAGGATCCATTCAGCGTCCAAACACATAGCACACTCATTCATGGAGCTGAGCCCTTCTGGAGGAGCCGCCAAATGTGCAGCTACTCAAGAATTTCCCAGCATTATATGGAACCTGAAAGTTCATTACCATGTTCACAAGAGCCATCTACTGGTCCCTATCCTGAGCCAGCTCAATTCAATGCATCCCATCCTCTCTCTCTCTATCTAAGATCCATATTAATACTGTCCACCCACCTATGTCTTTGTCTTCCTAGTGGTCTCTTTCCTTCGGGCTTCCCCACCAGTATCCTATATGTATTCCTCTTCTACCCCACCCCCCTTCATGCTACATGCACTGAAATTTGTATTTCAATTTCCTGATTCATACACACAAGTTTATGTACAACACAACTTAAACTGGTCAGCTTACCAAATATGACTGGTATATCTGCTCCTAAAGGGACAGGAAACTGTGTCTTACAGTCAGAAGTTAATATTCAACCTGTAGTGTACTGTGATATATTACGTTAAGCTTCTTACAAGCATTAAACACTGGGAGAAAGAAATAAAATGAAGTCTTTAAGTATCTCCAGTCACTTTATTATATAAAATCGTGAGGTACCATATTGAGAAATGTTGAAAACAAACTGCTTTGAGGGCAGCCTCAAAGTGGTCACTAATAATTAATTTGGAAATCAACATCCAAACACCAATTCATTTTAAATAAACTTTTTATAAACTGAGAAATAATACACACTTCATAGAGCTTGCATCTACTTGAACCAATTCTATGAAATAATCCTATCAACATACCTCCATTTCTTCCTTGTCATTGCACTTGTTTAAAAAACATAGTAATTTCCAGAATTTGACATTAAAAGAAAATTCTAAACAGCATCATATTCTTCCACTTAATATTATTAATATAGAAAACATTCTTAACTCCATTTCATATGTAACTTACCAACAATTTTAAAGTCATTAACAACAATTATCTTTTCATATTTAAGTTAAACATAATGTTCAGTTACCCTGGTAACATAAAGCTCGAGGTGTCACGATACTTTGCACCCAGCAGCTAACATAACAGAATCATCAAGTGCACAGGGTGGTTCAGTTGTCATGAACATGACAAAGATGATGCACAAATCTACATACGTTTTAGTGGACTGAATGTATCAATTTCAGGTAGAACTTTCCAAGCTTGTAAACTTTTGAACTCTCAACAGTGACATGCTGTAATGAAAAAACTGGATCCATTAAACTCCAACACATCCTGCTCTACATGATTATCAAATGAAATGGTAAAAAAACTGCTCACTGAACAAACACTGTTTACAAGTAATGCTATATAACATTTCTCTGCCAACACCCTTCAGACATTCATCCTATTTAATGTTAATCATTCTTTAAAAATATTGATAATAATGAAATGAAACATTCTAACTGAATCTGTATTTTTGTGATTTGAATGAAAGTAACAAATATTTTAACTTAAAAGCAAGGTAACATAAGCTTACATAATACAATGTTCAAGAAAATGTACGATCAGATGTTAAGAAGGCTATTCAGCATTTATGTACCAACAGACCCAGGAATTCCATAATATGTATGGCATATCAAAGCCACCCAATTATAATATGCACTGAGACAAAGAGCCATACCATAATGGTGTATGTGGCAATGCCAATAAAGACTTCATATATACCAGGAGGATACAAGGGGTTGGTTTCATGTGCTGAAATTGGCTACGTATTGAGTTAAATTTTATCAAATACCATCTTAAAAAGTTTGAGAACATATCCTTTATAGTATGCAGTATCATGAGTTCACAACCAAAAAGTATTACAACCTTGAAGAGTTCTACTGCACATCATACACAAACAAAATTCACTTTCCTTTCCATACTGATCATAACTGGCATGCTGACAGCACACTGCCAAACAAACCATGTGTAATTTGTACTCTTATTCTACAATATCATCTTCATTAATTCAGAAGACAAAATTATGGTGCAATATTTTACTAAACAAATACAGCTACCCAACTAACTGCCTGCAGTTGATAAAGTACTTACAAATACAGTTTAATGAAAGGATAAATGAAAATTACTTTATACAAGACTAAACTCATGTGCAAGATAAATGACCAGCTAATCTGACATGAACCACTCTGCTCACCCATGTGACACACAGTGCCTGAAAAAAAAAACACATTTTTTTTAAACTTAAGAGCTTTGTATTTAATTTGTATGTCTTGCAGTTTTCTCTACAGTAAGATTTTATTCTGTTCTATCATGGTTATCTTATGCATTTTTAATAGTGCTGTATTCTACCTGATATAGTTCAGTATTTTCTGCAGTTGCATTTCTCTGCATTTATCATTAGAAAGATATATGTACAAAAATACTAGGGATTGCAGCAGAGAGAAATAAAATATGTGACAATTCAGAACATGCTGTTTTTGTTTAAGGGACTCAATTTCTCTTTGCATAATGTTACTGTCCAATGTGGCTAAACTGGGCTTATCATGTTCAGTATCTTTTTCCATGCATGGGTGAATAACCTCAGCTGTCAATTACCTGGGTAGTTTAGCTTAACAAACTCAAATGCTCAATTAACCACAGTCAAGCTTAAGATGCCATTCTAAGATTCCATGAGCAGGCATGATTTCTATTTCATGCAATTCCCTCCGGAAATTCAGCATCCAATTACAATGCAGAGAGCTACAATCTTAACAACAATGCATACCTAGTCTTATGGATGACAAAAGTAATCATACAAAGGGCCATATGTAATGCAATTCAAAGAGACCTGCCAGCTATTTCTGAGTATTTTCTAAAGCAATGGTACAACAGAGTTCAGAAGCAGAATATCTGTATGATACAACAGCAAGGTATCCTGCTACTGCTTAAAAAGAGTCATATCCTCCAACAAGGGAGAGTGCCTTGGTATATACACCCAGAAATTAATATCCAACCAGAGTGTGACCAGACCCCTCTAAGGAATTTGATATGTTAATGCAAGCAAAATGTTGGAGCCTTCAAACATATGGCAGATTCCAGTCATACAAAGACTCTAAATGCTCGCACACATTCATCCACCAAGCTCAGATACTTACAGATGTGGCACTGCAACACTCATTTCCCCACTTTAAACCTAACAGAAGGAAATCACTAAGTGTAAAATCTGTGGGAGTTGGGAACACTGAAGTGGTGAGACCACATTTCAGTAAAGTGCTCTTATTCATCACGATGAGGACAGACCTTCACCTCCCAATATTAATATAAGGTCCCAACTTTGCCGCCATCCAAACTCAGTAAACAAGACCACATCTGAATCCAGATACTGATCCCCACATCTGACTATGGATACCACCAACTTCATATATTACTGACAGTCAAAATCCATAGGTATGCTGCAAAGCTTACCGCATCTATGAGCAAAGGCTGCCATTGAACACCATCATGAGTTGAACCTATCAACATGAACCCAGTTAAGACATGTGTAAGGTAGGTCAACTTCAACAAACTCAGCACAACCACATTCAGAATCTGATAGTATTAGCTTATCCAAAGAATGACCAGTTACCAGAAGCCAAGAAACAATTCCCAAGGCTTATGCTAAAGATAGAAATTGTACATACAGTGCCAAGTGCTTTGTGATGTTGAGAGTGTACAGAATATGAACAAAAACACTACTGATTTTGCTGCCCTTACATTACTACATGCACTGTCTGCTGATTGGACACTATCTCTATATAAAACAATGGGGACAGCATCACACCAACACGAACATTATAATAAAGTGATGAACAAGATAAAATGAAACTAAAAAAATTTATCTTATTCTCAAGAAAACAGCAAGCCAATTACTTATACAACTGTGAAGCTCTTAAGTTTCATAATACAAAGATCATTTTCAGACGCCATGTGCTTCCAACTCTCAGCATACTATACCCATCACTAAACACACTATAGCCTGTATATCCAGGTCACATTACAAAACTGCATCAACCAACACACCTGCTAACAACAGTGAAAACACCTTCAAAGCTTTACTGCAATTTGGCCTATATCCTATCCAGTTCATTTTAAATAACAAACCTTTAAACAGAGTGAGATATCTTTTACTGTGGTCAGTACAGTTCTGTACAAATGACCTGGGTTCAGGCAATGTATTTTGGATGCAACACAAGTAGGACCAAATCCTGTTACCCAAAACTAAGCAACAGCCCTACCCCACCTGTGCATGTCCAATCATTTTGGAGGGTGGGCAATTCAAAATAGATCTACTCTATGCCATATAAATAAACACACAAGAAAATGACAGAAGGAAACATTTCTTCAATTTTTCATTCAGGAAGTTAATATGACAATGAAACATAATTTCAGTTCAACATAAATTATACGCGGACAACTTTAGGGAATATGTCCTGATGTTTTTGCATAGTGATAAACAAAGGATGTATGTATAGTAAGTCATGTAGAACCCTGAGTTAAAACCATCTGCCAGTTTTCTTAGAGAGGTGTGATTTCTTTCTATGAGATTCACTGTCACTTTGAATAACCAACAAAACAAGAACAGAACATAAGTGCTATAATCTTCTTCCTCATGAATTTATATGTACTAATTATCCATCTTAATTGTTGTTTTTGACACAAAGTGTGCTGCACCAATACATTAGGACAACAAAAGCAAAATAAAAATCTAGGTGCTGTATGGAACAATACAACTGTGTGCTAGGTTTTCTCTCCCTTCTCACATTATTAATTCTAACAGCAACAAATACACTCTCAAAAACTATCTTGAAACAAACAGGAACACACAAGAAAGACAGAACCTTCCAAAACAATATGCTTACCACTGAAAAATATGTAAGGTACCTTCTATAAGTTCAAAGCCTGTATTTTACACAGCAAATATCGTTCATATAATATTTATCCTCATTTTATTGTATTCCAAAATTGAAATATAAAAGAGGTAATTACCGGTGTTGTGTTGTCCTGCTATTGTTATTGTGGGCTGTTTTATTGAGTGTTTATGTACTGTTGCTATATACCAGAAAAATAAATCCCTGAATAATTGAAAACCTTGTGCCTGTTACATCTGTGTGAACTGTTGCGTTGTATGTAACGTGTCTATTGCCTGAGAAAATGGTGAGTAACCATCTAAAATGTACACTGGCATCTACTTCAACATATCAGTCACCTGAAAGAATACAATCATTGTCAGAGAAAAGCTAGAAGGAAGGAAGGGAAATTTCATGTGCAGATCTGAGATTTACAATACACCAATTTACACACTCAGAACAAATTCTACACTTGCATCATAATATAAGAGAAATATTTAATTTAATAATGTTATATGTAAAATGTACATAACACATCTGACATCAAAGAAAAAACACATAATTGTGCAACATTCTTCACAGTTTGTTGACCAAATCTTTGGAGTGCAACCTAGAAAACCATTTCATTACATAACAACACCAGCCCTCCAATCTGGACTCTACTCACCTAGTGGACACAGGGTCTAAATTTTAAAGACAAGAACTTGTAACAGAAGAACATTTAAATCCTGATCCTAAGTCAGTATTTTTACTGACACACAAATTCCATAAGCAGGTGTTATCCAAACTGTAGGCTTACCATGAGGAACTTACTGTTGACAAAGAGATACATATTCTTTTCTTGGAGCAGGAAGCCAAAAACAAAGCATAAAATTTATGCCAAATAATTTAAAAATCCATATAATTTGTGCCTAAACAATTTTACACTGATCACAATCAGTACTATGTTCAGTGTGAAATCTAATTTGGATTCATTTATTGCCACAGCAAATCAAAGACCCTGTAAATATAAGAAACAGTGAAAAACAATGCCTTTGGCAGCTTCAGTTCGATTTCTTTCATGCATTAGAATGTTAATTGTCCATGTGTCCAGCAGGCTTTTGCAAATACACAAGGCAATAATCATAGAGAATTCAACTGAGGAATCTTGGGTTATGATACTGGGAGTTTAACGAAACATCACAAAGGAATATTACAAATATTAACATAAATTATAACTCTTAATATTAATACTGTATAATTAATGACATTCAATGCTGTAAAATCTCTGCAAGTTTATAAATTATATCCCACTTCCTCTGATTCATAGGTTTTAACTTGATATGAAATGGAAAGCAAATGTGATGTGGCAAACTTTCTTACAAGCAGTTACACAGTAATTCAGAAAATATAGAATTACAATTAAATATTAGCTATCATTGGACTGTCAATATATTCTGCCAAAAGGAATAATTGTGGTATAAATATCTTGATCCTGATGTTCTCACAGTGGTGGCTATGAAGAATTCTATCTTCTGTGATATAACACCATGTAGTCCAGTGAACATAAACTGACTTTCACCATACTATAAAACCTTATACCCCACAAGACAGAACTCTCTGATACAAATGTCAAAACAGGCAGAGAAATTTTAAATATACAAGAAAAGCCTTCCTCTCTTGGCCATTATCTTTAGGCAAATAATGACCTTTATATGTGTATTTCTGTCACTTAGCTGCTTAAGTCAATTCCTCTCACCTAACCTCTTCAAATCATTGACGTCTTAGGTCTTCATTCCGTTAAGTTCTCTTTCTTTCTACTTTGACAGTGTCTTCTCGCAACAGAATTCCTGTAACCTGTTATTTATAACCAAGAAATAACTGTTCTCACATGAAATCTGGAAACATTAAAGAGCATGAAATTAAATATAACAAATATCATAAGCATATGGCAGATTAATATTAACAGATTTCTTTCATATTTTACTGACTTTATTCTAGTTGTAAAATAAACGGCTCAATTACAACTACTATAACGCAGTAAAGTTGAAAGAAATCCTCATTTTGAAATGCTTAAAATTGGGTCAGGAGATCTTTGACACGAGAACTTCATAAAGTCCAAACATTTTTGATCATTAAATTACATACTAATATTCTGCACTGCATCACTGGATGTTTAAAATTCTGCACTTCATATAATTACAGTTAGTTGTTACACTGGGATAATGAAATAAATAAAACTGTACCTCTTACTGCAAAAATGTGTTAAGAAGACATAAATTTAAATGTTAATAGATTCCCATGAGAGCCCAAATTATCTGTAAAAGGGAATGACTTCAAGATCGAATGAATTATTGCAGAGATTGTCCTCTTGTTGGGAGGGGGGCAAGAAGAAGAAGAAAAATAAGTAGTGGTAGTGATGTTTCAACAGTAATATTAAACATAATCCTTTAAATGTATGATATAATAAGACACACCACCATACACATTATGAACATGAGTATCTCACAGTAGTGTAATAACCAATCTTCAACTTCATGGCATGAAGATAATATTTAATATACTGGTGCTGACTAGAAACCTCAGATCTATACATGTATGAGTAATGAGGATTAAGTACAGGAGATAAGCTCTGTGTGTTCAAATGCAATCTTCCCTACCATGTCATTAGTGCTTGATATTTAACACCCAGCAAGCATGTACATCATTGTCATCATCCAAACAATTTTTCCAGTTTTGCTGGTATCCTAGTACTTCTTGAACTACATCTGTAATGTTCAATCATTTTCTGAAGTCTGAATGTTTTTCTGGTGTAATCTTATTAATACAGTAAAGCACAACAATAGTCTCAAGAATACACATGTAGCCAACTCCAATTTCTGGGATTGCTCTTGGCTCAAAATCCAAATTTCACTACCATAATTATGTATTACCCTTGATATGATCTGCGAGTTTAATTATGTATCAACTGATATTTATGTGCTAAGATTTCTTTTCATTAGATAATTTATTTTATTGTACAATGCACCTTACATTACAGATGTTGGGGCAAGAGAATTCTTCCCTTACAGAAATTACATAACAAGATCATAAAATTCACAATACAGACCACAAATTCACTCCTATGGAAATCTTGTTTTTTATAAACAAAACAACAGAAAACAGTTACAAATTCAGCCAAAACAATTTTTAACAGATTATTATTTACTAAGAAAGTTACACCATATATACGCACAAAGGAGTGATGTAACAAAATGGCTGGTATCATGGTTGCTATTTCCATCTTATTTTAGACTGTGAAATGTATTAACCTTCCTTAATATATCCGGAAAGAAGTCATCAAGTTCATTTGTTGATGGGTGACAATGTGTTTTAGCTATAACTGTGTATGAATAACTATCCTTTACCATTCCTCTCAGCTTACTACATGGAAGTCAATGGAAAATTTTAATTTTATGAGAGAGCCCAATTTTCAAACCCATTTCTCTTATATAACACAGGAGCACGCTGTATTTCTGTAATTACATGTAACTTTCTTTGCCTCTAACATTATGATTTCTAAGTAATTAAATTATATACGTGTTCTAGTACTTTGACTTCTATTTCTATTTTTACTTTTTTAGCATTTCTTCAACACATTTCTATTATTTCAGTTTTCAGTATTTGGTGTATCAGTGGAATACTTTCACTTATATAACCCACTATAAAGATGGCCAAAGACACCACCAAACAGAGAAATTTTAAAGATGATTATGAGACTATCATACATGACACAACCTTCAGCATTACATTATCAAGAAAACATAAAAAGCATTCATCATTCACTTCAGCATATTATTAATTTTAAATGTTTTAAGGAAATATAATCACATTTAATTTAAATGACTAAAGGATTTTAAACTATTGTACGTAAAATTACGTAGTGTCCTTTAGTATTAGTTGTCCTTGAAGATGACCAATTAAGGCCGAAACATGCTGGGCTGTCATTAAAAACTGAATATGCTTGACGGCAAATTTTATACTTATCTTATTCATTGAACTACTTTATTACATGTCAACTGGATTCAATTTTTTACAGTCTGTTTCTGTATGCATATGTATGTATATGATTAGCAAGGGAAATAGATAAAAATTATGTGCATACTCACAAAATGTTTTCTTATATTGCTCAGGTGTAAGTGGTACCACCAAACCATTCACACAGTACGAGTGAACAGGCCATGAGGCTTAATGAAGTTACATGATTTTATAACTGAATACTAAAATTTGTGTAATTCTTCCAATTGTATTTAACAAACTGTCTTATATTTCAAAATGTTAAGAAGTACTAGTACTGTACATATCTAAGCTTCAAAATAGGATACACTCATTTATTATACATATACAGCATCAATAAAAAGACATTTATGTATAAATTGCATCTATTAACCGAATGCTTGATGAAAAGTAATAATTTTGTTGATAATTTGCACCACTCGCTTGGTAGAATGCTTCACTACCAGCGGTAGCTTCATGAATCACTTTTTAATAACATGGTGTGTATGCTACAACAACCTGTGTTTATAGTAAAAACATTAAAACACATTAATGAAGGTGCCACTACACCAGAAGAAATGCACAGTATGGTGTTCCGTTTCAGCCATTTCAGTCCAATTTTCCTCATCAACATAATGACATATGAACATTATCACAATGTCCTTGAAGAAAACTTCCTCCCATTTTTCTAAGGCATGAGAGTTCAGTTCCAGGAAACATTCCTCCAAAAGGGTTGGACTTGACTGCATACAGCAAATGAAACTATGGATAACCTTAATGAGAACTCAGAGTTTTGTTACTCCAAATTTACATATTGGCTATGGACGGTCATTTCAACCTCATTCTTCCAATATTAATGTGTTTGACAAATTTTAAAGGGGGTATCTCAAAGATTGTGTGTACTGGAATGACACTCAGACTGCTGATGACATGCAAGGAAAAAGTTCAACTGACATCAGAATCACTGCAGACACTCCAAGCAGAGTAACTGCCAATTTTCAGTGCTGACTACAATTGGTCTCGGATGGCTGTGATTCACATATTGAGCTGCATATCGAACAGTTCTAGGCATAAATAAATTATTCTCAAAGTCAAAAGGACATCTTCTGCACAGAGATTTGTTAAATTTAGTAATTGTTAGTAATTTCAATTTCTTCTTTATTCATGTACCAAAGAAAACAGGTATGTCAGGCATTTAACAAAACACACACAGAATGACTCATCCTTCATATTATTCTCTGGCTTCTAACTTAAAATGAACACACAGAGCTCTCTACCTGCTTTTACTAAAGTCATCTTCTGTTGGAAGTTACAAGAGGAGAGGAATGTGTTGAGGTAACAAATGGCCTATTTTACACAAGGAGTACAGCATCATATCTCTTCTATAACCATACACACTTACTGATAACACATGCGTCTTCATCTCAGTTCTGTAGGAAAAATACCATTATTTACTGATGATGTAGAGAAAAACAATCATCATCTACTTTTAGGCTTACCCTTTACTCCATCCAGAATGATTAGCAAAGTATCAATGAAGTGGACTTGTCACCTTAATTTATTTCAGTTCTCTTCCACTGTGATTTGTGACAAGGTCTAACAGCTCCTCCCTTTATATTATCTTCAACTGGAGAAAAATTGTGTTATGCAGCACACTTTCTTCATCATCTCCTTCAATGTGAAACTGACACATTCATTCAACAGTACACACACATATACACTTTTAATCATTCTTACTATAATATTATCCGTGAAGAGGAAAACACTGCAATATCTCTTCTTTTCCACATTTACTCCTGAATGAAGTTCAAAAACTGTATAGCAGAAGAGTGCAGTGCATTATATTTCCTCTTCAAAATGCCAACTATTTTCATATGAATTTAATTTAAAAAGTTGTTTCTTTCCTTCTCCTTCAAGTTAAGTCCACCTATCACAACATTTCAATTTCTTATGCATATATCTCTTTTACCAGTGGCCCCAACCTGACACTGCAAGAACACACTATCTCACATACCCTGTGGCATATCCTGCACGTTGAAATAAAAAAAAATTATAGTAATCTCTCATTTACATAGTCACCAAAATTTCAAATCACGTCAAGTGAAAGTCTGTGTAAGAAAACGCATTCTGCAGGCTCACATCACCCAAGGTCAGCTCACCAGAGCTGTCAATAGATAACTTCATAAACGGTTGCCTTCTTATCACCAGAGCCTGTCACGATGTACTTGTCATCTGCTGAGATGTCACAACTCAACACTGATGAAGACTCCTTTGACTAGATAAAATGCAAAAGAGAGCTATTAATTCACTAAAATCTTCTTGCACAGTCAGCCATGTCAGTGTTGAATTCAAAACTAAAGTTTCACATAGCTCCTCCACCTCTGTCATCTTTGACCAAGACACTCTCCATCTCCAACAACAAGGCTGATGCTGACACATAATCATATGTTGCTGACATATATATCAGTCTGTTGAAGTGATGCCTCGTCATATTTGTGCATTATGGGAAAGGAGGGATTCAGTGTTAACTGAACATTGACATGGCTGATTGCCTGAGAGGATTCTAGTTCATTTATTCACCATGAGAACTTCAATCTTACAGAAATATTAACATGATTATTTCTGAATTAGCTGAAGTTTCCTGGGAGATCTGCCTTGGCTTTGCACAGCAATATTTGAAAAGCTAAATATGGCTTAATTTCTTTGTACAGTTTCTCCATAAAACATGATTTCAATTACACAATTTCACATGATTAGTGTGAACTTCTGAATGACAGCAACAATGGCACCACCATTAAAAACTTTGTCTGATGTATGTCTTTGAAATGTATAGCAAATGGCCATAGTGTGAAATCTATATAGCTTTCCACTTTAGCAACTAATAATTATGCATGTGTGACAATGGCTTTTTTCATTTTTAGATAACATTAAGACAAGAATTAAAAAAAAATAATCAAGAATTGAGATGAAAGCAAAAACTTCTCTATATTTTTTTTTTTTTACTGTAATAGAAATTTAAAACATTAACCAATTGTTCACAATGTGTTGAAGTGTACTAATCATCCCTTTTGATGTCACATCATTCATTAATGACATTTTCATAAAACATTTTACTTTAAAAATAAATTCTACGATGACATCATTTTCCTTCAGGACATGAGATTTTGTTCACAAGCTGAGCTGTGCTAGTGCTGTCAACCATCATGATTCTGATGGACTGAATAGCTTGGGCGCTATAGTACAAAGCAAGAAGAACTATCTGAAAATCCTGAAAGTTCCTTTGTGAAAAATCAATCTCTGAATAGAGATCAAGACTTTTCTTTTGATTTAATCTCCAAAATTTGAGGTATACATGTGCCTAGTAATAATACCTAATGAGCAACTGGAGACAGATAATAAACATACATTCAAATTCCGAATGAAATGTTGATCTGATGTCAACAATTGTAAACATGATGATAATAAACCTCTAGTTTACGTCTGATATATATAACATAGTCAGAATCTGTATTACTGATAATCATGCATAGAAATGTATCACTAAACAGAATAATTAAGAATTTACACTTCTCACCAGCCTCAGCTTACAGACTAAAATATAATTCCTCCCATAAAGCCTTGTTTCTTATAGCTTTACAGCATTATGACTATCTTATAGTATGAGATAAATTACGTGCGAATTTTGCCAGTTGATTTATATTTACCTGGAAAATGGAGGCTCCATAGGGTGTTCGCCAAGCATTGAGCAGATTATCCTTGCCAGTCGAAACAAACCACTTGCCACAAGTTGCAAAACGTAATGAGAGGACACAAGACTCATGGAGGTGGAGTTGGTATTTATCAGGCTTGGCTGCATGCAGGACTTCAACATTTGAGTTTTCCATGCCTACTGCCAGCCATTCACCAGTTGGACAGTAGCCAAGTGAAAAGATCTGGGATGAGAAGTCATGTTGCTGCAGCTGCCGTCCCTCTCTCAGATCCCATGACCGCACTGTGTTGTCCAGCCCACCAGTCCACAGTTTTGTTCCATCAGCAGAGATGTCAATACATGATGCACCATCTGTGTGTCCTTGGAACTGACGGACTAGAGTCTGGTTGTGTAGGTCCCATACTGCAATGTTGCCATCTGAGCAGCAGCTGAAGCAAACCTATGAAATGTAAAGACACTGCTTGTAAGAAAAATTAATTTAATTTACATTTCAAATTTTTTTTTCCATTCATAAGTAACATCTCATGGAATGTCAAATGCCTAGAATTATGACCTTACTGACTCAAGGCCACACCACCAGCATAATGTTCAGTATTATCATCAGATATTAGTTCCACCCACCTGGAAAGGTTAAGGAATTTGTTCTAAAGAAGGGACCACCTCTTAAGAGAGGTTCAATTATTCCTCAGTCTTACACTGATTATGAATTAAATGAGGATCTTACTCCTCATAAGGGGGCACGTGATAGCGTGGTTGGTTGAGGCACTATGCAACAAGCCAGAAGGTTGCGGGTTCAAGTCCTGATGAGGTAGATTTTTTCAATTTACTCAATCCTTCCAACCGCATTATGCCCCTGGGGTCAACTCAGCCTCTAATATAAATGAGTACCAGGAATCTTCCAGGGGGTTAAAGGATGGCCAGCGCATAAGGCTGACAACCTTACTGCCATCTGTGAGCCAACTGTCTAGAGAAAATGAGGGAACCTTGACTTCTCACAACCCTATGGGCCTTCACGACCTGTTACAGGGATGGCTTTACCTTCAGCTTTACCTCACTCCCCACACACACAAAGTTTTAAATATAAAATGAATGCTCAATGCAATGGAAGCAATAAATTGTACAGATGATTAAAATTATCACATGAATGAATGAATGAATGTATAAGAGGTGGGCCTTCTCAGCCCTTGCACCGTAACCTACAGTGGTCTACTGTGCTTAAATAATCATCACGTAATCCAAAGATCTATAAATACCCATTTTCCATACTGAATTTAACCCTGATAATCACTTAATTAATACTCTAAAATAACTCATTAAACTTTACATTTTGTAACTATTATCCTAATGTCCTGGAAATTCATTGCACTTATATAAATTATGCATCATGTGTAACACATATACGACACTGCTACATTTTTGATGGAAGTTCTTTCTCAAATTTCTGTATTGTTTTTCCCTGCTTTATTGTTGAAACCACAGATTTTTGTTCTTCAGCTGCTTTTAAAACTGAATACAGAATAAAATACAAAGGGTTACATAACACAGTACCAATAAGATTCAAGAGATAGAACTATAGAAGAAAACCTGCACCTAACAAAACTAAATGAAGTATGAAAAGCTATGGATGAAGAATGCTGTCTTCTGGGATGTGGCGCCGTGGAAATATTTTGTTAACTGACATTTCAGAGGAACACATCGCCTCCATCTTCAGGGTATAAAAAATCCACAAGCAATGAACCAGTGTGTTTGTAGACCATCTACAGACACCTGCTAATGCTGGCTCATTGCTCGTGGATTTTTTATACCCTGAAGACAGAGGTGATATGTTCCTCCGATGTGTCGGTTAACAAAATATCTAAATGGCGCCACATCCCAGAAGACAGCATTCTACACTACTGCCAACTTTTGAAATTAAACACAATATCCATATCAAAGCGGCTTAATTAAGTATGGTGTGAAAAATGATGATCTCTGCATGAAGTTAAAACTTGTAATGAACTGCAAACTCCTGGACATGCTACTTGTAATTATACGAAGGGGGACCCAAAAATAACCGGAACCGACCTGTTGCGCGCGCATGCTTTGCAGTTACGAGTTGTGCTGCTAGGTGGTGTTAGCTGGGGGTCTCCCGCGACTGTTAGTGAGCTGGCGTCAGTCTGAGTTAAGTGGTTTGTCTGTCGTGCTCTGTTGTGTGCGTTCCTGTTTCAACCCTTTGGCGATTAGTGAGATGGCCGACCAGAAGGAACAANAATTTCACGCACACTCTTTGTTCCTTCTGGTCGGCCATCTCACTAATCGCCAAAGGGTTGAAACAGGAACGCACACAACAGAGCACCACAGACAAACCACTTAACTCAGACTGACGCCAGCTCACTAACAGTCGCGGGAGACCCCCAGCTAACACCACCTAGCAGCACAACTCGTAACTACAAAGCATGCGCGCGCAACAGGTCGGTTCCGGTTATTTTTGGGTCCCCCCTCGTACAATCAAGAAATTTATCTTCCCAAGAGAAGAAAAAAAAACCATTGTTTGGTAGTGTATACATCCTGAAAATCCATAGACTGAAAGCAGCAACAAGGTGAGATGTAGGGTATGGAGTAATGATGACAGCTGGCATCACTTCCTACTGTTAAGTAGATTTTAATGTAAATCTAGCTAGTAGTAGTAAATAAGTTCCCCATCCCTGACCTTGACAGACATATGTTCACTTTACAAAGAAGTGGGGAAATTAAGATGAAATGTAACTGTCCCAATAGCTACAAGAGGGTTAAGGAAAACCACAAACAATCTTCACCATGTTTCAAACCTATATCTTCAGCACACAAGCAAAGTGCATTTAAGGTACATCAACTTGCTTGGTATGAGAGAAGTGATCAGAAAGAAGTTTATGTTTTGAATACTCATTTTACAATTTTCTTTTGGAGTAGAAAGAAAATAAAATATTTACATAGGATGAGGAAGTCTGATTATGTATTAAGTCAGTAAGTGTAATCTGATTAATCACGGAGAACGATCTCCACCATGTGAGCTTGCTTCTAAAACAACTTCATCTATTTTTTAACTTCTCTATGAACTAACTTTTACCTTGGAGTCCGGGCTAATGGCAAGAGCATAGCAGGCAGGGGCACTAGATGTGAGCTCAGCCTTGATGCGAGGTGTAGGCGATGCCAGGTCCCATATACTTAGATTGCTTGCCTCACCACCTACAATTAGGGTTCGTCCATCTGGCAGTAGCTTCACAGAGCGGATGTAATTGTCCCGTTGCTGTAATATTGAAATAATTAAATGAAAGAGAAGAACCCTGAAATATTACAAAATTATTTGCTTTATAATTTATTTCTTCGCCTTTTCTGTAACCCCCTCATAGCTACTGGGACAGTTAAATTCAATCTTCCGAATCCAATCCCTGTAGAGTGAACCTTATGCTTAAAGACAATCAACCAGCAAACTATAAGTCAGATTCTGAAATGACCATCAGATATTCATGAGAATAACACATTTCACCTTAAACTATGCTGAAATCCATAGTACACGAAAATATTGCCTCAAGAGTAAAAAAGTAGAAGAGTTTGGTGTGGATTACACACATGTAATGTTACAGACCAAAAAAACAAACCCCGTGGCTTTTAGTCTGCAAGTGAACTATACCAACCGAGTGACCGCCACTTGTCAGCAAAGTCAGTGCCAACTTTAGTGGATATAAGGTGTTGTGTGGTTTGCGCAATGGATTCCCATGGCCATTACCTTGGTTTTCTAGACCAGAAATGTTACATATCACAGCCTTTTAAATGCATTTTCCATTTGCTCCCAATTTTTAGACATATTTGTCCTAGGTCACTGGTAGTTGAAGTAAAATAAAATCAACAAGAGTGGATAAATGTTCCCCAGTGGAATATACTTAAGCTTCAAATTCACTGTTTGTGATTTTGAATATTGTACTTCACTGGTGTTGACATTTAGTGCAGATGAAAATCTGTTATTAATATGCTAGCAAAAAGTTAATTATCCCTTGGACATTACACTAAATTGAGTTACAAATTTTCTCCCCTTTGTATTTAATTACACATTCACATACTGACAAAAATGTTTCAAATAATACTTGTTAATGAAATCAATATTCCTGGTTATGTAATACCCAAAAAACTGGAAACACTTCATTTGATTTTCAAATAGGAGCTTTATTGAATCAAATTGATAAAATCTAATTACTCATCGTCCGCTGCTGCAACAATAATTCGGATATATGAATTTATTGGTAGTGTCAAAAGAGTTTCATGTATGTCCCAACTATACCAAATATATGTGCAGCACAGGGGTGTGAAGGTTTTTAAAATGCATTACGTTGGCAAATTCCGTGGATGAGATGGCAGGAACTATGTCTTTTGCTAGCTTAACTGATGCTGCTGCAGTAGGCATGGGGCAGTCGAGTGCATAACATTGTGAGTTCATTGTTTAAATATTTTTTTTAAAAATGGTGATTCTCTTGTTAAAATGCAGAAAATATTACACAAGCATTTCAATATTGCTTGTCACAGAAAAGTTCCTTGCCGCAATACCATACAGTTATGCATACAAAACTTCATAACGAGTGCTTCCGCATTAAAAAAGAAACCACCAGCCAGTGTGTGCACAGAGCATTGAGTCTATGAGGCAGCCATTCATAAGGAGTCCAAGGCATTCAGCCAGGAAACATTCTGTTGCTCTAGGAATATCCATAGCAGTGTGAGGAGAATTTTATATAAGGGTCTAAATTTCCATCCACACAAAATGGTGGTGGCACAAAAGTTAAGCGCTCATGATATGGCAAACTGTAGCATGGTATCTGAGCGTTTAATCATAATTTTGTACAATGATGTCATTATCCTTATGATGGATGAAGAACACTTCCACTTATCTGGCTGTGTCAACAAACAGAATTTTTGCTACTGGGCAGAGAAAAATCCACAGTGGCTCCATCAACAGTCTCTCCATGATGTACGTGTGATTGTTTGGTGTGGAGTGGGAAACTTCGAAGTCACAGGCCCTTGTATGTTTGAAGACAAATGAAGACACAATGAAATGTATATGGAATAAAATGGTATTCAATGTTCATTCATTTTGTAACAATAAAAAATTTAAATAAAATTTCACTGCTTTACAGACTTTTGAGAATTGTCAGGTTCCTTCTCAGCACTCAGTTTTATCAAAATCTCTTCAACAATTTCAGTGATAAATATAAAACAAATGGATGGGCATGACACTTTTAATGCATTCACTTCATTCATCCCCCCTCCCCGCAAAGCACTGAAAAATTCACAGGTAATCTGTCTTCAAGGATACAACATGAGAAATACAATGGCTTATACACATTATGATGTTTAAGACTTAAACTACAAATGTAATATAATTACCAGACAGTCAAGCTGGGACATGGGGCTCTTGGAGATAGGCTGGCTGATGTCCCAGACCTTGACACAGCCTTTTCCACCTGTGTACACATATTTGGTTGGGTTGCTGATGGTAACAGCACATACAACCTCGCCATGACTCAAAGTGTTGATCTGCCGTGCATGACGAGGGATCCCAGGACCAATCAGGGCATCGGTTGGGAATGGCACTGGTTGGAGTTGTCCTTCTCCATTCATATGAAATGAATAGGCACTGCAACATACATCATCATAACAATAGTGGACAAAGGAATACATTAACAATGTCCTGCACAAGTACAAAAAGTAAAATTACCTCTGTGTCTAAACACAATGCCAGACAGATACATGGGGAATATGGGAGTAGAGCTCCACAAGTAGCATTAATAAAGTCTGGATGGATCCCAGACATAACATGAATACTGGGGATGAACTTTAAAGTGCAGCACTATTATAAGCAGATGGTGGGAGAGCAGAAGTTAACTACCTTACTTATCTTGCCACATGTGACATTCCTGTTTCTACAGTGGCAGGAAGGAGAAACGAAAGAGAAAGAGAGAGAGAGAGAGGGAAAAAAAAGACAGACCCACACATACCCTCTGTTAGGAATTTAATCCTAGCCAACCAAACATTTTCATTATTCATTCAACTACAGTCCTTCTATACAAGATGGATAATTGTAGCTTTCTGGATGTTTTCCAATTTTCAATTGTGACAAATGTATATAAAATTAATATTTCCTGCCACTTTCCTATCTCCTGCCATGGATCTAATACAGAACACTGAAAGTATGGAATTTACTCCTGACTCTTGCCAATACATGCAGCAGTCATGGCTGTTAGTGTGATATGAGAATACTGCAGTAGAGATTTTAGGTATGATTCAAATCCTCAATCAGAACCATTTAATTACATGAATAAACGTTAATCCCTTAATCTGAGCATTATTCAGTCAAATTGGTATTACACCTGTTTGAAAGAAGTATCTGATTTGTCTGTGCAACATTACACACAAACTACTCATTCAAGCCTCATTCATGTTGCAGTACAACTATTGTTAAGTTGCAATAAAATTTATTTTTAATTAGCAGAGGTAGGAACATAGACTGAGGGTGTTGAGGAGAATATTTGGACCAAAGAAAGATGAAGTGACAGGAGTTTGGAGAAAACTGCATAATGAGGAGCTTCATAACTTGTACTCTTCTCCAAGTATAATTAGAATGATCAAGTCAAGGAGGATGAGGTGGGCAGGTCATGTAGCACGAATGGGGGAGACGAGGAATGCGTACAGGATATTGGTGGGAACGCCAGAAGGAAAGAGACCACTAGGAAGACGAAGACGTAGGAGGGAGGACAATATGAAAATGAACCTTAGAGAGATAGGATGAGGTGGTATGGACTGGATTCATCTAGCTTAGGATAGGTACAAGGGGAGGGCTCTTGTGAACACGGTGATGAACCTTTGGGTTCCATAATATGCTGGGAAATTCTTGAGTAGCTGCAGAATTGGTGACTCCTCAAGAATGACTCAGCTACATGAGTAAGTAAGAGGAAATTTAACTTACGGTTTTCCACCAGGAATTCCACCAAGCCCATTGGAGCCAAGGCCAGGTGTACGGACATGTGGGTGAGACTCGTAGCCAAGCTGTGAACAAGAAACACTCATACTGAAGCAGTCTTACAGAAATAATTAATCCTTCAAGGAACACTCAACAGTTTTATCCCTTTTTCTGCTGTTTTCTTCTTTTGGCTACTTTAGAACAAAGAAGTATCACATGATATATACTAACATCTGACACGAACTTAACTTACACCTGTCAGAGGATATATGTACATCTGCAGCATATAAAGGGTTAACAGTGTAATCTTCTCTGCAAACTGCTCTGTATATGAAAATTTGGAAAGAATTCTAGCCTTCCATGGACTGCAAATACTTGGATCATATGATAAAAAATATTAATTCCTGTGTGCACATAGAAATTACATGACAAAAGTTAACAAATCAGAGAATTATCAGCAGTATCTTAGGATGTGATATGCAGCCTGGTAAGCAGACTCCTCCAAAACAGAAGTCTGTAATCATTATGGTGACCATGGTAAGAAGAACCTCAACACTTAATTTATTTCACTGTCATAAGGGGAAGGTTCAGCAAGTTTTAGAATGATAATGTTATCAAAAATAACTTTTCATCTGAAGGGAGAAATGAATGAAAAAAAAAATACTGTGCCTGCTGGAGAAGTTCTGCAATTATTTTTCAGTTTAGTTTAACTGACAAATACTTAATAAAAATATTCTTTCAAATTCATTAATATCATTATCAAATGACAATAATATTCAGTTTGTTTGTTTAGAAATTCTTGTGTAAATTTCATTAGTAGGTGAATGTCAACAACACTGGACATATATATGATCATTTCACTCTTTTTATTAAATGAACCCTGAAATGAAAATAATGCTTCTTACTGCACAATTTTCAACACAGTTCCAACATCTAATCTTCATCAGAATTCAACGAAACTAATACTGTGGCCTGCTACTTAAATTCTATGAAATATAATGAAGTAAATATCAAACAAACCTAATACTGGTTAGTGTACTCCTTATAAAAACGTTTTCAAGCTGGCTAACATTTGTTTCTACTGGCACACAAAGATAAAGAAAGTGTAAGAAAGTATGTAGATTGTGTCAGTTTTGTCAAACAAAATTAGCATGAGGGTTCAGAGCAGTTCAAAACTGCATCACATAGTTCAAATGTGGAAGTACCAATAAGAAGTGAAATACCTATTTTAAACCAGTACTCACATATGTAGGAATTTTTACCAAACAGAAAATTAGTATACTCCAGGCAAACGAAATTAAGTTCTTAAGAAAGAAGATTCAGAAAACTAGAAGTGACAGAGTTAAAAGTAAAGAATAATAATAATACAAATAAAATTAAACAATTAAAGAGAACTTACGAATGTCAATAATTTGGCCATGAAGTGAATCACTGTCCAAAATGTAAATGAAAGAAGAAGAGAAGAAAAATGGGTTAAAATTGAGACCAACAGATCAGGTGTAGATAAAGAAAAGATACAAAATATGGACCAAAGTGATGGACTTGCTATTATAACAGAAGTAAAGACTGAAACTTTTAGCTCATGTTCAAGTCTGTCAGAAGGATGAAGAACAAGGAAAAGCAAAACTGAATTCCTCACTGAATACAGAGGTTAACTAGTTTGTACTTGTTCATATTATAGAGGTCCCAGGTTCAAATCCTGGCCCACAAACTGGCTATCCAGACTGAGGTTTCTCATGGTTTTCTTCAGATTCTCTAGGAAATGCAGGAATAATACCATAAATTAGGACACAACCACATCTTTCCACATCCAGTCTAATTCATTACCTACTAATCATGGTTAAATGCTAGATACTGAAATCACAGCAAATGGAAGTTTCAGGAATAATAAGAACTGAATTCCACCTGGGAAAAATGTTCTGTCTAGATCTACAGTAACAACAGTAAGTCATATAAGGGAATATGTTCAACCAACATCCATCATAACATTTCAAATTTCTTTGGATACCCAATATTACTTCACCTTAATTTATGGTACACATTTTCAAAATATACTGCATACTCATAAGTCTGAATATGTAAATATTTATAATTTTCAAGCAAACTAAAAGGTTTCACATTTAAAGATACCAAAGTATACTGAATGTATGTAAGTACATGTATATTAATGTACTGAGATATGAAATACAAAATAAGGTAACATAAACTAAGCACAAATTAAGTGCAGAAAAAAAAATTCCACAAAAGTGTCTACCATACAGAATTTAAATGTTCACATCTTCTGACCCTCATTCTGGAATAAAATCAGGGATGGAAATTGTTTTATTTCAGCAGCACTGTGATTTTTTGGTATTCCATTTCCATATATTTCTAACCCAGAAAATGCCAGTTCCATGCATTCTATGATATTAAAAAACTAATAAGACACAATAAATGAATGAAACATGCATGATAAGATTATTAATTGAAAACATAACAGGAACACACAACATGGACCAACAAGTTTAGAATTTTATTCACAGTATAACAATTCTGGTGCATATGCTCCCTTTTAATTATCCTGAAAACCATTAAGACTTACAGGGACAAAATGTATTGGGCATAAAATGTGCATTTCATTTTTTTCTACAATTTTGCTTCGAAATATTTTTTCCTCCCATAAATATTTAGTGAGTTATATTCAAGCAGGCAGAAATGTATTTCAGTCATTACTGTTGTCTGATATCAACAAAACTTTGAATATCCACAACCACTATAATATACTTTTGTCCATCATAAGTATGCATACTGTCCCTCTACCTTCAAGACCATAGTTCTAATATTTCACTTCACATTCTCAACATTCTGATTAAGTATATTTTATATCAAGTTGTCCCCATATGCCAGGGTGATTACAAGGAACTAGCCATTTGATCCTGAAGTGGATTTACAGGATACTGGATTCCTGTAATGGCAGTACTAAGAAACATACTCAATTTACAGTGCATGGCCGGATTCCTGTAATGGCAGTACTAAGAAACATACTCAATTTACAGTGCATGGCCGGATTCCTGTAATGGCAGTACTAAGAAACATACTCAATTTACAGTGCATGGCCGGATTCCTGTAATGGCAGTACTAAGAAACATACTCAATTTACAGTGCATGGCCAAAGTTCATATTCCTGCACTTGGTGAGAAGTATGAGGTTCTCTTCAGAATTCAAAGTCATACTCGACATGAAGTTAAAGTTTAGGGGCTTGCATATTCTTGCTAAGCAATACAATAGCTGAGAATTCCAGAATTACGCTACACTGTTTTCTATCTGCAAGCAAGAAATGATTTGAATCCCAAGCACAATGGGAAATTATACGGCCTATGCATTGGCTTAGTTATCATTCATAAGTCTGGTTAATGTGATAATGTTAACAGTGGTTCAAACCAAGATTAATTGGTTCATAACACTAAGAGTTGTAATTTTACAAGCATTTGCTTTATGAGCAATACAAATGCTTCAAATTTTGTAGTTTATAAAGCACCCAGTTTACCCCTCAAAAAACAATGCTATCCATTTAGAAGTGTCTTTCTACATGTATACACCACATCAAACTTGCTTGAAGTTTTATATGAACAATACTAATTGTGCTTATGACTGGGGAGAGAGAGATGTAATAATGTACTATGTTGGGTATTTGCCAGAAAGGGTGAAGAGAACCCAGTAAAGAAATTAATGGAAGGTCAACTCTGGACTCAGTCTAGGGAACTCTCTACCAGTGTATGCTATACACAGTATATAAGCTGACTAGTTTAGTGATAAAATCAAATTTGTTACAAATATCTTCCTTCCTGAATGATCAAACTGAGAACAGCCATACAGCAAAATATTCGTCTTAAATTCATGTCCATAAGTAACATAAGCCCTTAAATTCTGTCCCAATAGCACCCTCATTTCACAGCAAAATAGTTTCTGATTGTATTACTGGATGATGCAAAAGTTGTTTCCAAATTTAAGGCTGAGGATTAAGGACATGCTGCCTGGCTAGGGTTATAATATGATAGATTCAGAACAGCTCTTCAACGAACATCATTTTCATGCAGTCTTTAAAATAAGACACTATATCAAAAAGTTACAAAACATATGCATAATTAAAAGTACACCATAATACAAGTGACTGGCATGAAGAATGCCCAGTGTAGTACAATATCATTTTATGAAGTGTAAATAGCTTTCAGACCTTTCAATTCCGGTGAACTACTTTACATGCCTCATCTCTTAATTGTTATATTACATATAATGGTAGACATCAATTTTTCAAATGTTCAGCTAGGACCGAACATAAAAGCTATAACTAAATTAATTAATGTACTATAATTACTCAAATCCAAGTTCCCATCATATGCTTTTAATGTGTCTCCAACATTCAGAGTTGAGAAAATTGTGAATATTTACATCATATCAAAAAGGCAGTATGTTTTATCATTTTCTATGGTTCCATGTTACAGAGATTATCTTGGCTTCTGATGAGACATATTCTGTAACCTCTGTATAAGATATATGCGCCTTGAATTTTGCAATATGTAGGTTTCAATGTATAGATTATATGACTGTGCAAGTTGAAACCAGATCAAGGATCTGTATAGATATGTGAAATTTATAGGAGAGGGAAAATAAAGCATGACTATAAGAAAACAAAGGACATAATGAAGTCCACATGACATTCCTCAAATTTTAATGGATAAAATTATCTAAGAAACTCAGGAGTTGTACAATGAATCTGTAGTATTATAAATAACAACTTACTGTTCAATGTGAACAATGCTGCAAGTGAACAGTTCATTTTTCCTCCTACTACTGTATTAATATGATATTTCTTGTAGTCACTACAGACATAGAATCCTAAACATACTTACATGTACTGTGCAAGAAAATGAACATGTAAGTAATAATTGCAAATATATACACCTTATAAGAAATATACAGAGTGTTCAATCATTGAGGAAACCAGGGGACCAGCATGAGTCGGATACAACATTTCTCACATATTGCTGCTGTAACCGCTGAAAGCAGAATGAGTCATCAGCGCTGATAAACACGCACTCTCTCGCTAGCGTAGAGTGGATGGATCGTTTCTCCATGACTATTCCCTCACATCAGTTTCTGTACATGCACACATTCTAAGAATGCCATAAAAAGATAACACATTCCATCGTGCACATTTTGCAGCAGCCAGTTGCAAAAACAAATTCTTGCTGCATTATCTGGTTGTTTCAGCTCACGCACAACTGTTGTTTTATACAGGAAAAATTTGATTAATGTTATGGCTCTGAAAGCAGATTGTAGCGAAACACCAGTTTTCCGTACTAAGCATCTTAACGATTTTTGAGGACTGATCTGTAGTCGTGCCACAATATCCCAAAGGTTTTCTTCAGCCAGCACAATCCTCTTCGATTGCTTCTTAATGTCCACTGAACCTGTGGCCTGCCACTTTTTCACAAGCTTGGATACACACGACTTTGTGGGAACTGGCACGTCAGGATATTTACAATGAAACTTACTGATACAATTTCTCTAAGTTTTTTCTTGGAAAAATTTTGACAATAAACACACATTGTTCAATACTGAAATTCATTTCAGTATAAATGTCGACTGCCTGTCGAAATCTCTAACACAGACTGACTATTAATGCAACTTAACAGCAGTGACAAGATCACACCACCCGATATGCACATCTGTCAGTGCTAATGACTCATTCTGCTATCGGCAGTTACAGCTGCAATCTGTGAGGTATGTTGGGCTGGGTCAGTGGTCTTGCAAAGTTTCCTTCTTCGTTGAACACAGTGTACTTCATTGAGCACCCAAAGCATATGAACAGAACACTACAAGAAGTAAAATAAATTCCCTTTGCATTAATGATTATCACAAAGATTAAGTGATGTTTATCTTTACAAAATCAATTTTAATTGCTGGGTCTTACTCACTGAATGATTGGATTCGTATTCCATATTCCGTATTGAGGGGGTGGGTTTCCCCATGCACTTAGACCGGTTAATGGTCCATTGTGCATCCCCCCTTAATTTCTACTGTCTCCATACCCTACCAGTACTGGTGCTTACTATCAGCCCCTTTCTGCCAGCAAGGTTCCAACCTCCTCTGGCAGTGGTATCTAATAGTTAGTCCCTTTCTGTCAGGGAGGTCCCTCCTCCTCTGGCAGTGGTACCTAATACTTCCCCCACCTACCGGAGGAATTGGAAACTACTTGGGCGGGAAATGTTGCCTAATTTTGCTCTGAGGTCTCCTAGAGACATGAGGATCTTTTACGTGCCGTAAATCTACAACACGGGACCCACCGCTTAAAGTCCCTCCCAGAGGACTTGTTCCCTGAATTTTTCCGCCCTTAAAAATTCCACGACCTCCGCCGGGTTTTTGAACCCGCATACTACGAGTCATGAGGTGGGAACGTTACCTCTAGACCACGGAGGCCACGAATGATTGGATAGTATTCACAGTCTGCAAATTAAACCTGACAGGAAAATGCAGAAAACTGAATACTAAAAAGGCTAGCTGCAGGCCAAAATGGAAAAAGTTGTAGAACTTCAAAATGTAAGTTTACTCAGAAGTGTCAATACTTTTACAAATATTTGTTCCCTTCGAATGCTGATGACTTCCTTTCCTTATGTCCAATTGTTTCCTTATGTCATATTTTGAAAGATCAAGGATGTGTGAAAGACTAGAAGTCAATTATTCCATAGTACACATTCCACCCATCACATATACATGTCTAAAACTGAATTTTGAGGCCCAAAGCACATAACCTGGATTCAAGTAAACATAGTAAAACAAATTCACAATCCACAGAACATTAACTGGGAAAGTCTGATTGTACAGAGTTCTGATTCCAAAGGTAGAGGGAAACTATTCTCTCTGAAATCCTACCATAGGTGGTCTGGAGTAAGGGGAGGGTGCCACACTGTTGTAAGGGCTAGTGTCACTGCTTCGGGAGCCCCCAACTCCCCCAGCCACCAGGGTGAAGGGGGGGTAGGCCCCCGGGGGGAGCACCACTCCGGGCACGGCAGATTTCACTCCACTGGAGCCAGGCAGCGTGGGCGCTCCGGAACAGGTTGGGGTCGTGACCTTGGACACTGGCGTGGAGGGCTTGTCGGCCTATGACAGGTCCAACAACATAAGAACCCTACTTCAATGCCTCACATTCCCACTCCTGATATGTAATACTTCTAGTATCTTCTCTAAAGAGGAAGCAAGATTAGTCCTTCATAACAGTATGTTTGTAGGTCTGTGACAGTAATTTCAAAGCACACCAGACTTAATTCAATTGCATAATATTCAAGTTAGTCTGAAGCCAAACTACAGCGTGATCATAAAGTTATATTACAAGATGTGCTATTCTTAATATTATTTATCCCACTGTGAGAAACATTTATATTTTCACAATCAATTACTATTTTTCCACTTATCAATAATTCTATGTACATCATCCAATGAGCTCTCCATGTTCTATGTTCTAGGCGATTCTGTACCTCCACTAATATGTTAAACCTCTTTCAAAATAACACTGTAGGAGAATGTGTCCTAAAGGGATGATACAATGTCTTATTATCCACCATGCAGTTTTAACTCAGAAGGGCAAGACAAAATGGAGGATATCACATTGCATACATCATTTATTCCATGATTCACTTAAATAGGGACTCGCTGTGCTATGCAGGTAAGTTCAAACACAAGTGGTGTAAATGCCTTCACCAGAATATGTAAAGGTGTACAAAGATATACAATTTTAGACAGGGCTTGAGGTGGGGCGGGATGGCATCACGGTTCTTTTCTAAATGGCTTAAAAGCATCCCATTACTTCTTTGGCACTAAATGCAATGTACAATACCCAGGGCTTGAGGTGGGGCGGGATGCAGCAGGATGGCATCCCGGTTCTATTTTCATTCCACCTCAAGCACTGATTTTAGATTGAATTACTTGAGTAATGATAACAGAACATCAAATTTTCAGATAATTAGGCCAATAAATGCCAAAGTCCTGACTTACTATACACTATGTAGTAACACCTCATTGTGGCATTTTCTCAAGGTAACATATCATATTTCTATGTTCACTATCAATCATGCCATAGTTTATTAACACCATACTTTTTAATTGGAAACTGATGTACCCATAAGCAAACACTAGCCTCAGGCTCTTCACACAGTCTCTTTACTATGAACACACATGTATAATTTAATACTGAGACAGCAAGAGGAAGACAACTGTACAATATGCTAAAGAATTTAAACTTTCAAAGCCTGTGAATAACATTCAGTAGCAGTGTTGTTTTCAAAGTGAAATTTTTTGAAATGTTTCCAAATAAAATAAATAAAATATTGGTAGCATATGATTATAATGTAAAAGTGACATGGAATATTTTGAACTGTGTATGCAGAATATTTACTTATGTAATCCATGATAAGCACAGCCCTTTGTACTATTCGAAAATACAACATGTGAAAAACTTTCCAGAACTAGCTGCCAACTATACCCACTACAAACATTGCTAGGTACGGATTATTGTAAGTAAAAGAAGATATCAGATTTAATTTAAATAAATGTCACCTGAGAAAAAACATTATAACCACATGGGTTAACCGAAACTGAATGCATACAGTGAAAATGTATATGAATACTGAGGAATACAACATGGTAAAATAAGACATATTAATCACTTTTGATCATTCTTTTTAAACATAACATTAAACAAATTTTGTGTGATAGAACTTTACCAGTCATTAATATACATCCCACCCACAGGACATAAAATAACTGTGTTCCTCTATATTCTAACTGGATTATAGCCACAACTGAGAAAGAAACGCAACTGTTGAATTAGCCGAAGGTACAAAATGATGATCATGCAAAGTTAAAGTTACAAATCAATCCATCTACAGACACCATACAAATTAAAATTACGCATGTACGACAAAACTAATGTTAAGTTTCATTTACAGTTTAATAAAAATTAAGTGAAGCTAGGTACAAAATCTTACATATGTTATGATGAATAAATGAGAAGAGATGATTTTATTTTAAGTCAGCTTTATGGACAACGTAACTTATATAAATAGTTGTAAGTATAAACAACACAACATATACTATTTATAAAAGAAGAGCTGACATATCTGTAACTAATTTTCTGAGCAGAAAATCTGTATTATGAAGACAGCCAGTCACCAGTTTGGATGCTGTGTGATCAATAACCTGATTCAGTCACAAGCATTCTTTGTATATGTATTCATACAGGACTGCATGCAGTAATGTATTTATATTACTGGATTCCTCAAAATAGTTCTAATAGTAAAGTTCATACTAAACTTGTGTTTATGGCAAAGTTTAATTTGATTGTAAAATAAATTCACAAGGATATAATGTTCCCACACTCTGGGAATAATTTACAAATATGTATACAAAAGAAAGACAGGGAATGTCAAAGGATGGACTGCAGAAACTAGTTTAAACAGTCTTAATTTAATAATGAGATTTTACAGATTTTAATATCTTTTATAGTGATAGCTCAAAAGTTCTTTATACGATAAAAATTACAATTGGGACTAGAATAAGCTAAGCAGCTCGATCAATTATAGCAATGTGGTGACATAAATTCTGAGAACACAGGAAAATTCTCAAAGTACTCATCGTGGACCACCACATATTAAAATTCAAATTATAATGTATGTTGAGTGTATGAAGTTTCACTTACATGTTCTTTGTTCAGTGACTTGAACAAGTAATAATTTTAGCACATACTCAATTGCAAAAGGAAGTAAACTACTCTGAAGATGGAGGCAGAATGTTCCTCTGAAACAGTGATACCCATTTACCACAATATATGGTATCATAACCCAGAAGGCCACAACATGAAAATTCTACAATGTTATTCAAGAAATCATAAACAATGAACTTCAGCAGGAGTCACAGAATTTAATAGACAGCAAGTGTTCCAACAGTTGGGCTAAATATATGATGCATAATGTGACTGTATTGAATTTTTTAAAAAAGAAACAGGTTTACACTGAATACATGCAGTACAGTTTTGTGTGTCATGATTGAAAAACAAAACTTAAATTTTATAAATTCAATACTTCACCTCAAACAACTGAAACAGAAATAAAGAACGTTGCTGGCCATAACAAGTTTAGACTAAACAGCACCCTTACTGGTGACAAATTTGGCTACCCATGCTACCACAAGACCACTGCAAAACAAGCCAAAAGACCATCCGCTTTTTCCCCACAAACCTACAAATAAGATTCTCTGTAATGTGCCTATTAATGCATTATCCTATATCACATGTAGCAAACCCATAAAAGTAGTATAAAAATTAATGTTGCATAACGACAAAAAGTAACATCAGAATGAAGAGAGAGATTCACAACCCCATAACAAACAATTTACAGTCTTGTTTCCAATGTCATGACATTGTGATGAACACACTAATTAACATTCTCCAATTTTTCTTTTAAATATGAACAATTCCACAAGACTCTGACACATGAAATCATGTTTTCACTGGAACTAGTGTATTCACATATCATTCGGTGGATTCTTTAGGTCAGAAAACAGGAACTGTGCACTATCCAATAACATATTATTTTACATGCCCTTCAGCATATTGTTATGTAAGTCTAAACATTATAAACTGTTCTCTGAGAGTCTTTCCACATGTCGCATGTAAATGTTGTAACTGAAGTCTGACATGATGGTTAGACAGATGACAGAATAAAAATGCAAAGGGCAAAGAATTTGAAATAATATTTTCACCCATCCTTAGAGAAGTAGGACAAATATTACAGGAAACAAGATGAGAGCAGTTTCTTCTGTCTATAAAAGAGGCATTTCCAGGATGAAGGACGGTCACTATTAAGAAAAGGAAATCACAATAGATGCCCAAGCAAAAGATTTGCGAGCAGAAAATTAACAGAACAGTGCTATTATCTAGCAGAAATTTATGAATGAAAATATTATTACAGACAGCAAATTTTCAGTAGACAGTTATAGACAACATAAAACTTAATTGCAGTTTATTCAGTGTTACTGGAAAGATGATGTTCTGTACATGACTGAAGATACAAACATATGAATTTGGTGTGCTTTTTTTTATCAAAACCTGAAAGAACAATTCACCTGTTCTTGTCAATAATATGGTTGGGACTGCTGGGACATGTATAGGGATAGAAATTTTTGTTTTCTACTATATATCAAGGTAACAAATGACGCTTCTTTACTTACAAGAACGGTGTATTATGTTGCCATCAAGGCATTCCCAATCATTGTCATGTACATATTTTTCAGTAATGTAAGTCATGTTTCCAGTGTTAAGAAATCACACATAACAAAAATTAAGTATGAAAAACTAAAGTAAGGCAGGTTCAAGTCTCAGCTTCCTGCTGAATAAAAGATTTAATACTCCTAGAGAATGATGTAAGTAAATTAAGCCTGAACATTGCAATGGTACTGTCACATGCATGATGACTACAGAGAGGGTTTGGATTCATAATTTACTAAACTTTTACAGAACGTAACTACAAGTAACTATAGCACTATCAATAACTGACACACTCTGTGGATCACTACAGAACATATCAAGTCTTCTTGATCTGCTGTGTCTTCACCAGTTATTGCTTAGTAATAGCTTCCAACAGGGGACGTTCCCCTTACTCTGGGTTCCAGAACTATCCCCATGCATCAGCTACCAGCTTCAAACAGCAACAGCTCACGATTGAACTGCGGCAGTCCTCTGACTGCTCACCAGCCAACTCACTTCACTCTGCTGTACTCAACTGCACTGCACTTACTGAACTGAACTTAGTTGGTCCCATGATATAGCCTCAGAGCAGACCACATAGAAAACAGAGCTACCAACAGTACTTCACTATTGGGCATGTGCTGCTTCCTAGCAATGGCCACTTTTTCATGATCATTGCTTACCAATGGATATATATGGCACAATGCAACCTCCTTAAGGCTATTTGCTCTGAATAACCTACAAGCATACTCCCATTTCTTCTTTTCTCAACAGCTGTGGTTGTGATGTCTGTGATCAGTCTTGCTTCCTTCTGCATGGCTCAGTTCTCATGATGATTACTCTTCAACTGCTCCCACTGCTCTCTCATTAAGGTTGCTCATCCTGAGTGGCTCCTGATAAGGTGCAAGCCGGTCAAGAAGTGCTGCCATCAACCTTTATCTGGGAGTGTGCATCTGACATCTCGTCTTTAATTTCAGAGGAGGCCAACTCCTCCACAATGTCCAGTCATTCACTTCCTGTAACCAGATGGAAATCCTGCCTACTTGCTTCATGAACTTCAGTCCAAAGGTTTGCCTGACAGTCTTGTTGTATGCCCTCTTGCTTCCTAGACATAGCTGACCTATTAAGCCCCAGTCCCTTATGCCATTGTTGCACTCTGGTCATGTCTGACACCTCTTCCTGAGTGTTCATCCTTCAGTGGCTCCTTGAACAACACTGTCCCTGCCTGGTCCCTGGTGTCCATGTCCCTTGTGCAGTGTAGGAATGCAGGGCAGGTCAACTATCCTCAGGCAGTGACAAACTTGTACCAGGACCCACTACTGCCCTGGGTCCATTTCTTCAACTGTCAGAGGCGCGTCCTACTGCTAGATGTAGGGCCCCATATCGGTCCTCCAGTGCTCTGATAGTTTTCACCACAGCCTCTCCCTTACGAATGTCCTGCTGCTCAGCTATGGCTTTTGACTATTCTCAGTTGGCCTCCAAATCCATGGTGTCCATGTTGTTCAACCTATCTTCAAAGAGAGGAGCACACAGTAGCATAGCTGGTTGAGGAACTGTGCTACAAGCCGGAAAGTAGCGGGATCGAATCCCGGTGAGGTGGATTTTTTCAATTGACCTAATCCTTCCGGCCACACTATGGCCCTGGGGTCGACTCAGCCTCTAACAGAAATGAGTATCAGGAATATTCTTGGGGGTAAAGGGCGACAGCACGCAGGGCTGACAACCTTACTGCCATCTATGAGCTGATTGTCTAGAAACTGTGGGAACCTCAACATCTCACACCTCTAGGGCTCCACAGCCTGTTAAGGGGATATCTTTACTTTTTTTTTAACTTCAAAGACACCCACTGCGGCCTCCATTGCAAAGCTGAAAAAGTTAAATGACCAGATAGTGATCACATTCCGGCAGAATTGATTCAAGCAGGAGGTGAAATATTACATTCTAAGATCCATAAATTAATTAATTCTATTTGGAATAAGGAACGAGTCTATTATTGTACCAGTTCACAGGAAGGGTGAAAAAACTGACTGTAGTAATTATCTTGGGATGTCATTGCTGTCAACTTCATACAAAATTTTATCCAACACTATTCTCTCAAGGTTAAGGCCATACACAGATGAAATTATTCGGGATCGTCAGTATTGGTTATGATGTAACAGATCCACTCCTGATCAGATCTTTTGCATTCATCAGATACTGGAGAAAAAATGGAGGTACAATGAGATAGTACATCAGCTATTCATTGACTTCAAGAAAGCCTATGATTCAGTTAGGAGGAAAGTATTGAACAATATTCTCAGAGAGTTTGGGGTACCCATGAAAGTATTCAGGCGTATTAAAATGTGTTTAAATGAAACATATGATAAAGCCTATACAGGTATACATTTGTCTGATAATTTTCCTATCCTGAATAGGCCAAAACAAGGATATGCTCTATCGCCACTATTTTTCAACTTTGCTTTGGAATATGCCATTAGAAAGACCCAAGAAAACCAGATGACACTGAAATTAAATGGGACACAACAGCTGCTTGTCTATGGTGATGATGTGAATTTGCTGGGTGGCAATGTAGATAACATAAAGAAAAACAAAGAAACTTGAACTGATATTAGTAAGGAGGTTGGTCTGGAAGTAAACACAGAGAAAACTAAGTATGTGTTGCTGTCTCATCACCAGAATGGAGGGCAAGATCATAACAACAAGATAACAGATATTTTGAAAATGTGGCACAGTTCAGATATTTAGGTACAACAACAAAACCTGATTCAGGAGAAAATTAAGAGAGACTGAATTCAGGCAATGTTTGCTACCATTCAGTCCAGAACCTTTTGTCTTCCTGTCTTTTGTTTAAAAACGTAAAAATGAGAACACAGAAAACTATAATTTTGCCTGTGGTTCTGTATGGGTGTGAAACTTGGTCTCTGATATTAAGGGAGGAACACAGACTGAGGGTGCTTAAGAACAGGCTGTTGAGGAGAATATCTGGATCGAAAAGAGGTGAAGATACAGGAGGCTGGAGAAAACTACATAATGAGGAACTTCATAACTTGTACTCTTCTCCAAGTATAATTAGAATGATCAAGTCAAGGAGGATGAGGCGGGCAGGGCATGTAGTACGAATGGGGGAGACGAGGAATACGTTTAGGATATTGGTGGGAAAGCCAGAAGGAAAGAGACCACTGGGAAGAACAAGGCGTAGGTGGGTGAACAATATTAAAATGAATCTTAGAGAGATAGGATGGGATGGTATTGATTGGATTGATCTGGCTGAGGATAGGGACCAGTGGAGGGCTCTTGTGAACACAGTAACGAACCTTCGGGTTCCATAAAATGCCGGGAAATTCTTGAGTGGCTGCACAATTGGCAGCTTCTCAAGAAGGGCTCGACTCCCTGAGTGAGTGAGTGAATGTGGATGTCATTACTATTTAAATATGACTGTTGGTCACAATAATTTTATACTTTTAATAAATAACTGATAGTCAAATTGTCAGTACAAGCAGTTTGTTTTATACAGGTGTCATTTTTCTAAAACGTTTCTGTCATTTATGACCATCATAAGGTGTTCATAAACAATAAAATGTTCATTACTAGACTGCATGTCACAATGGCTCCATTGTCCTGTAAAAGTTTTTAAGCAGAATTACAATATTATTTCAATATATTTAAACAGTGTACTTCTATTTCAATATACGAGTATTTAAACGTAATTCCATGTAAAAACTTTTACATGACAAGACTAGTGACAATTGATCCAATGCAACACTCAGTCTGGTAATGAACATACTCGTACATGCATTTTGTTGTTTATAAATGCCTGATGATGGTCGTAAATGACAGAAACATCTAGCAAAATAACATCTTAATAAAATTAACCAATTTTATTGACAATTTGAGTCTATCAGTTTTTTATTAAAAGTATAAAATTTTTGTGATCAACTGACTTATTTACACAGTCGTAACTGCAGCAAAAGTGATTTATTTTTAGTTGCAGTGAACATGACTACTGGGAGCCCTACATCCCCAAAAATTGTGTGACTGTGGAGCGACAGTAAAGGATAATTTAATGATGATTACTTGTGGACATCTACAGAGTAACAAAAAATTTATGCCCTTAGTTACAAGTGGAATTCCATGGTTGAACCCTCACAGTGAATGCATACGAGAAGTAACAGAGGAAAACATTTCTGTAGTGGGGCTATTTTCAAAAGCTGTTGTTTGTGTCTGAAAGCTTCTCAAAATTAATTCTAAGATGGAAAAGACCCGAGGACCTGTCCAGCTAAGGGAAAGAAGAGAAGGAATAAAAATTTAAATTTCTCTTCTTTGCAATTTACTTCGTATGGTTCTCAGCATTTATGACTCTCATAAGGAATATTACATAACTCTTCTTGAACCGTCTTAATATGAGGGTAAGTCAATAAGTAAGTTACAAATGGTTATAGAACTTAAACAAATAAAAGTACTGATTTGAAAAATGCTTTTATTTCTCAACATAATCTTCCTGTACAATGAGGCACTTGACCCATCATTTCACAAGCCCCTGAAAGCCAGCACCATAAAATTCTTTGGGCTCCTGTCGGAACCAGGGGTGTTCACACGGCATGGCCTACCTCATAATGCATGACAGCTTTGGTTTTCACTAAGTCTGTGCACGACTGGAGCCGCACATGCTGACCCCACAACACAAAATGCAAAGAATGGGTCTGGCATTACACCATCTCAATTGCTATTATGATGAAGGACACAATATGCTAGCCGGAACTGTCACAGGTGATGAGTCTTGGGTTCACTATTACCAGCCTGAGAGAAAGCATGTGTCAATGCAGTGGAAATATCCTGTGTTGCCTGCGAAAAAAAAAGTTTAAGGTGACACCATCCTCCAGGAAGGTGATGCTCACAGTCTTCTGGGATCATGAAGGCATACTGCTCACCGCATTCCAGCCTCAAGGACAAACCGTAAATGCCGACTCCTGCTGTAACATCCTCAGGAAAATTCGTAAGGCCATTCAACAGAAGCATGCAACCTGTCATGCATTATGAGGTAGGCCATGCCATGTGAACACGCCTGGTTTTGACAGCAGCCCAAAGAATTTTATGCTGCTGGTTTTCAGGGGCCTGTGAAACGATGGGACAAGTGCTTCAATGTACAGGGAGATTATGTTGAGAAATAAAAGCATTTTTCAAATCAGTACTCTTATTTGTTTAAGTTCTATATCCATTTGTAACTTACTTATTGACTTATCTACATAATTACTGTTTATGGTAGTAGGGTATTTTTCTTTTATTGCTAGTGGGGTGGGACTAAGTCCTTTGTACTGCGGCCACTTTTGGCCTATTGTACCAGTCCCAGATGACAGGTGAGGGTGATTGTGGAGCTACTGGTGGAATGAAGATTGGCAGGGAAAACCAAAGTTACTCTGAGAAAACCTGCCCCAGCTCCACTTTGTCCACCACAAATCCCACTTGGTCAGAGCCGGGATCGAACCCGGGCCACCACGGTGGGAAGCTTGCGACTAACCACTTGAGCTATGGCACAGTCTTTGGTAGTAGGGTAACACCCACTTTAAGACATAGCATCAGAAGAATTAATATGGCTACTGTCAATATTGTGAGCTCACTGCGGGTACCCAGAGTTACTAAATCAACTGAAATTGAAATACTTTTTTTTTGTATTAGAAAAACTGTTGATGTTTAAAGAGAAACCATAATCCTGCATATGATTTCTGTGATGATGAGGGCCCTGCAGATAGGTGCCGAGATCTTACATCTTTACTTTTCAGGGAGGGGGTAGAGCGGCTGGAGCTGGACCCACTCCGGCTAGGTGGGCGCTCTGACTTGATGCTGCCTATTCCACCTTTCTCCCCATTCTCTCGAATGTCTCCAGGATGTTCACCATTAGGGTGTGGGGATGATGGGTCCTGCAAAAAACCACTGTTATATGAGAAAAGTACCTCTCTGATTTCACATGAAGGTTCTGTAAATGTTAATCATCCTCATCTTTAACAAATCTTGTAAAAGCCAGAAATCAATCACTTTACTGATATGATTTCTAACAATTATTTACTGCTTTGAATCACACATTTTGCATTTGAGACACCCACAAAACACAGTCCAACATAACTACATTTTGTTATAAAATGAAGTCTTCTAGGACAATTATGGAATTACAGAGTGAAAATTTACACTGTGTCCTGATTACTGATCATCTGAAATATCTCCAATGCTTTCCTTCACTGTGACAGCTTTGAATCCTAGTGTTATATACTGCATTCTGTCAAGAACATACACTTTTATTCATGACAAGCTAAAAGTCATTCTGATTGTCACGAAACTTTAAGATTCATTACCATGTTCACGAAAATTTGTCCCAATGTTGGGTCATTACAGCCTATTTCTCTATGATAATTTTTAATATTAACCTCCCAAATATGCCTAGGTCTTCGAAGTCATCCCTTCCTTTTATATTTTCCAGCCAAAATTTTGTATGCATTTTGTATGTGCGCACATTCATGCTACATGTTTTGCCCATCTCACCCCCACCACCTCTCTAAGCATTTAAATTATGTATTTTTTGGCCCAGCCTCCAGTCACTTCTCACCTAGGTTCAACTATTTTACAACATTCTGTCCTCAAAGATCCTCAATCTAAATTCTTCCCTAAGGTTGGGACATGGTTTCACACCCGTAAATGGAACATGTACAATTACAGTTTCAATGGAGAAAAGAATGATGTGCATATAAAAGAAGGGAAATCCAAATATATTTACAAGGAATCATTTAATAATTTATGTATAGGACCTACATTACAGAAAGTGTAACTAACGTGATCAGTGACTCAACTGAATATTTTACATTCCTGAATCAAAGGTTACAAACAAGTTACAAAATAAGGTAAATGTAAAAGTAACTGGAAGTGAAACAAAAAAGAAAAAATGTTTACCTCATTGGCTACATCAACAACCAGGTCCTGGTCACTTTTCTCCCCGTCACTTTCCTACAAGCAGAAAGACAGCACAATTTTAACAGCAATATAACAATTCACTTTCCTTCAGCATCAGTGATTAGTAATTACAAACTTCTGAGTGTTAATTCATAAGAATGAAATTAAAGTAACTAATCCACACTGAGACAGAGAAGTGAAGAGACTTGTTTTCTTTTGCCTGGCAGGTGAAAGCTCTGATGAAGCAGTACAGACTGAAAAAATGACATAAGTTACAAGTACTGCACAATAATATATTTTTCAGTAGAAGAAACGTTTGTAATGAAGCAGTCTTTTTGTCATTTTGTCATAAAAAATGGAAAATACATTTATAAGAGTGAATTAAAACACTGCATTTTTAGTGAAACTGGTGAGAAACACCACCAGACATTTAAAAATGCTACAAGTTTACTGTGATAAAACACTGTGGCAAACCCAAGTTTTTGTTTGGATTAAAAAATTTCAGAAGAATACAAACATGAACCATCCAGTCATTCCAGCATCTTCTCACGAACTGATCAAAATATTTGGAACATAAATAAGATCAAAATGTTTCTGAAGATGGTACATTAACACAACTACTGGGTTTCTGGACATTATCTATCACCTTATATGGACTGAGCCCAACAGAGTAGGTTTTTACCTGAAGACAGGGACAGAATCCAGTCCCTGAAATGTAGTTTTAAATAAAAATAATAATAATAAAAAAAGGATGATGGATAATGTCGAAAAACACAATAACTGTATTCAGAACTTAGTCTTTTAATATGGTATGTTATAAACACAAGTCTTAATTTCATCAGAAAGTATCTTTTTTCCAAATCAAAGCTGAACAGGAAAATAAGTGAAAATTTTAGAAAGTGGTCTGAATTTGGCCATAACTCTTGAATGAAAATACAAGAATAACTTGTTCCAGCTGTACAAATGTAAAATAATTTTCTTCATGCACCTGGTTATCAGTAAAGTGTTCAACAAAGTCCAAAATTACACCATATTACAGGCAGACATTGACAATCATTCATGATAAGATCTAGCACATGAAATAGGATCTGCTGTGCCATTTATAAGCCTTACAAATCACAATCATATTGTACTCAACAACCAGCAAATAAATTATGTAAAATATGCTTTGCCTTATGAATAGTCAAAAGAGTATCAGGGTTAAAGACTGTTCGCATCTTATATTATGCTTACTTTCAATCCTTGTTATTATATGGATTGATATTTTGGGGCAATTCAGGAAATGCAAAACTGATCTTTAGGGTGCAGAAGAGAGCTATTAGAGCTATGATACAAATCCCAAAACTATTAGCTGTAAACAATATTTTAAATCGTTACCTATACTACCACAGTCAATAAGTTCGTGGAATGGTTGTAAAGAGTCATACAAGAAGTTACTGCCAATATGTTTCAGCAATATTTTCGACAGCTATATCAACGTTGGCAGACTTGCATAGCGGGCAATGGCAACTATTTTGAGGGCCAATATGGATCTGCGTAAGTGTATGTAAATACCTTGTAACAGGATGCGATAAAACCACATTCCACGAACTTAATGACTCCAACACATATTACCTTTACCATGTCTGTATAAAGGCCGTGCCATAGCTCAAGCGGTTAGTAGCTGGCTTCCCACCATGGCGGCCCGGGTTCGATCCCGGGTCTGGTCAAGTGGGATTTGTGGTGGACAAAGTGGCGCTGGGGCAGGTTTTCTCTGAGTACTTCGGTTTCCCTTGCCAATCTTCATTCCACCAATTGCTCCACAATAATCTTCACCTATCATCTGGGGCTGCTACAATAGGCCAGAAGTGGCCGCAGTACAAGGGACTTAGTCCCACCCCACTAGCAAAAAAAAAATGTCTGTGTGTGTGTGTGTGTGTGTGTATATATATATATATTTGAAATTCTAGTTTACATAAAAACCAATTTGAATGTTTCCATAACCAATTCAGGAATACATTCGCACAATACAAGGAGAAAAGAGGACTTGTTCATATTGCCATGCAATACGAGTCTATACAAAAACAATTTCAATAATATTGGACTTCGTATGTTAAATCAGTTGCCACAGTATATTAAAGAGATAGCAGTACTATACAAGTTTAAAAAGACTTTGAATATATCCTACTTGATCACTGTTTTTATAGTATAGATGAGTTTCTCTTGTTTTGGGACAAATCCTAGTTCTAATCACTTGTAAATATATATTTCAAGAATAATTAACTTTTAGATTTTATATGTTATAGGAATGGCTACTGCCCTGTTCTGTGTTTTTTCTTACAGGAATGAGATCGAGGATACCAAGGGTATTTTGTGCCAGGATAGAAGGATCAGGTCTTGAGGCATACAGCGGTGTCGTGTGTTAAACGATTATATTAGTTCTATTTTTAGAATCATCATTTTATTATTACCTTAGTATATATTATTATATTATTATTATTTATTGTATTGTAAAGTATTTGACTTGTCCTATATCATGTATAATGATCCATAGATATGAAGTAAATAAATAAATAACTAAGCAAATCAACCATGGAAGGGGTGAAACCCCTACATTGACAATTAAAATTAGTGAAACTGTACAGCACATCTGCATACACACAGCCTGTGCTGTGCAGAGTGGGCTGCAAAAGTTGTCTTTTATGATTTATTTATCAGAGCACAAAGGGAAATGGAATAGGGAGTTAAAGAAGATGCAGGGGGGGGGGGACATATCCTATATTATGCATATAAAGTGAGCGATATGAGGTATTGATTTACATAAATTGATTTTGGATGGACATAGTTCTAGTTTTGTTTCCCTGAGCAACGGACAGGACAGGTCATATGGCACCCACATGCAATCCCTTTACTTTATATCATCCTCCCCAGCCCCTTCCCTTCAACCATCTCTTCTGCTAACACCCTCTAAGCCCTTAACTGGACTGTTAAATGTACTGGGACCTCATTTCCGTAACAAGGTTGTTCGCTTGCTCTGCCCGAGTGTGCTCACTCCCTAGCTTGGTCCTCCAGCCATCCATCCCCTGGCCAGTACACATGCAGGCACTAACACTGTTTGTTTTTTATATAATCCCATCAACTAAGCAAAAGCAGTGTGCAGCACTTGCAACCAAGAGCAATAGCGGAGCAAGGCTCTACTGGAAAGAGGAAATGGAGACTGATCAAATTTTCGAAGCAACAGAAGAGGAAATTGTAACTGGTTCATTCATCCACCTAGGTTAGTAGACGAGGAAGCAATGGGGAATAAGCTAGCTGGACATGAATGCCTGGCAACCCCCTTCCCACACAACTGAATATTGCTCTTGAAAAAAAAATCTGGCTTCTGGATGGATGAGCAGTGAGGGGTCACTGTTCAATCACTCTGCCAGTCAAGAGAGACACTAGGATAAAGAGAGAAAATGCTATGAGTGAGAAAGGTTGAACACATGGAACAGAGGCATACTTGTTAAAATGAGGGGGAGAGGAAGAATATAGCAAGCATTTCCACCTGAACATATGAAGTCTGATTTACAATGTATATCCAGCTACTGTCCTGTCAAACTTTATCCTCACTGAGTTTCTACTAACCTGTAAAAAGAAATCAACCACTCTCAGCCACATCCCAACTCAAAGGTAAGACAGTCACAAGCACATTAGAAATGAAGGATATGCCAATTCTTTTCAAAATCTTTTGCTTAAAAAGGGGAAAAAATAGCCTAATCATTAGGTATAACTATACTGGCTCTTAAAATAAATAAATATATAATTAACTGCACACATACATTACAAATACACATATACACAAAAGAAAGAAAGGGATAAGTCTCAGATGCAAACATAAGCCATCCTAGAATAAAATGAAACAGTTTCAGTTCATCACAGCCACTGAGACACAAATGCGGAAGGAGTGATTGTCTTTCAACACGTTATGAGTCTACATACAATCTAATACTATGGCACAAAATTAATCCAACCCAGATTTCAGGCTATGCATGATGACTTTAAAATTTCCCTTGGGCACTTTATATTGTGACATGTTGACCCCTACCTCCCCAGCAGAACGTAGCGGTAAAGTAGCGCTCGCGTAATAGGCGAATCATCACCCCGCCACTCTCCCCGCGGTGACGTCACGAGCGGAGCCGAAGTGAGCCGAGCTGAGCCGAAGATAGCCGAGCCCCCGCATCCTGGTAGCTATGCAACGCGCCGCGCGCGGTGACGCCACGGTAACGCGGAACCGCTTCCCACTGTGACGTGGCCCGCAACAGGCACCACTGCGGATATATAAGGGAACCGCACAGCAGCTACCAGTCAGTTGTACTGTGACAGCCGCCGAGTTGTAATGTGTCTACCGCAGAGTTAAGTAGTAGACGAGCGAGGGTGTTATCAACAGTTCTCCAGTCAGCCGACTACAGCTGGAGTATAGCAGCCGTGGAAAGAAGATCCAGACGTGTGTGTGATTGTGTAATTGGGACCCCGCGATACAGTGATACATAGCTCCCCTACTATAAACGTGTAGACCACTGAAGACAGAGTGAACTGATTTGCGCATAGGGTTATAAATCGTGAAACCCCGCAACTGTGTGATAAGTAATTGTAGCCGTTATTTGTAGATTGTTAAATAAACCAATTAACCATCTCTACGGCGTCTTCAGTAACGTAAACACGTTACAATATTAACTCCCTGATGTCAGCATCTGTAATATTGCAATACATAAGTTTCAAGTCACACTGTCCAGAACTATAACATTACCTTTTGGTGAAGTTTGCTTGTCAAATGTTTTTTTCTATGCTGATATATGAAACCATCATGTGTACCATGTTCTAGACACCACTGAGATACTCTGGTCTTCTTTCTTCACCAAAAGAGGGCGTTGAACTATCAGAAATTTAATGACGAGTTATGTATCTAAGCTGTTACAGTCTTTGTAAAAGAGTAAGGCAACAGGGACTGTGCACTCTGAGCCTATAAGCTCATATTACATTTCCATGTACAGTTAGTGGTAGAAAGGAATAACATAACACACTTAGTTTGTATTCTATCACGTAAGTTTATGATTTTTCATTTAGTTTCATTTTTATGAGAAAAAACGAATTTATCCCAAAGTCATGTAATATGAATCGAGTCAGAATTAAATACAGAGATAATGAAAACCTAACAACTACAATAAAAATAGCAAAAGAAAAGGGTGCTCTCATTTGATAGCCCAAAAAGTCCGAAATTCTAACTCATAGACTATGAGATTAAGGGCATAAAAATAATTTGTTTTTTTACACAATTGAAGGACATTAAGGGACAATAATTATCCATCCAATTCCCCTTCTTGATCATTCACAGATGTTTTATAATTTTATTTCAGCAACTCATTCCTAAGATCGTTCCTAGTCAAAAATGTTGTAGAACAGGGGTCCATCTCTCAGTGGTTATAGAGCTACAGCATTCAAAGCTCAAGAATGATTTACACATAACTAAATTGGGTTCAATAAAGTATGAGTGTCTCAGTGCCTGCCCATGCATGCATAACAAAGCAGTCTTTCAAATACACATGGCTCCTTGTCCCCAGGCCTTCACTAGTGATATGGTGCCACATGAGAAAAACGGTATATAAACACAAAGCAGACACAAGAGAAGAACTACTTTGTTGAATTTTCAATGCTGCAAGAGATGTAATTGACACTGCAGTTTCTGGTAAAGTTACACATCAACAGAAGACAACTCAGATGATCTAGGCTGTAGATGGCAGCTTTGAGCATTTATCACATTGTGATCTATACAATACTAGCACTTGTTCTTGATAAAAACTTAGTTGTGGCAAACATCCATAGCTCTGCAATCATTAAAAATAACAGAATGCCTGTATATACGACATTTCTGATTGGGAATAATGTCAGGAATAAGATCCAGAAGTAGTGACAGAAAGTCATAAAACATTCTGTATATACACAGCAGAATTCACATCATGCCACAACAGAGACATAAGGATACCTGGATAGCTAAACATCAACACTTCATTTTCATAGTGATGTACCACATTTCTAATTATCAGTGATATATATATATATATATACATACAATACACTTGTAGATTTCTAGTAATAGCACATCTCAGAAATCCAAAGCATACTAACTCTCTGCTCTAGGCTATTTAATTTTCAGTATAAGTAACATAAGTCTTGAAAAATGGCAAGCAAATGTAAAGAAAGGACACTGTAAAACACTCTTTAGTGTGCAAGCAGACAAGTTACAGCACACTGAAGAGGGATGTAGTAGATGCATAGATGAACAGAAAAAGTGAGCTAAAATGAAAGGGGCAGCAGAAGGGGGTGAAAGGAGCATGTGGGAGGGAGCACCACAGAATGGAGAGACTAGAAAATGGGAGCAGTATTGCCAGCATCAGGGCTACCTGGAAAGAAACATGCATAGAGAATAAAAAGATCAGCAGCATAGGAATATTTCATTAATTGAAAGAAAGACAACTACAGAGTGAGATAAGAGGGGCACTGATAGAGAAAGGGGTGATGAATTAGAGGACAGGGCATTACTCTGGTATTAAGGTTACATTTTATATGCTTTGCTTGTTGGTTATTACAGGATGAGGGTAGGGAGGAAGAGATGGAAATGAGAAGAGTCAGGATAGGTGTAGAGGAAGGGGGGGGGAGATGAAAGGGAAGGAACAGGAAGTGTGTCAGTTGGACAGGGAGACTGCTGGTTCATCATGTAGGCCTATTTGTGGTGCCTCTCTACGAACTGAACAAATGAATTACGGTGTAGCAGAAGAGGTGGAGAGCTTCTATAGTAAGCAATTAAAAATGGCAATCTGTCTTATTTCGTGAACTGTCTTTGTAAAGATAAGGAGGAGAATTTGCAACATCCAAGTAATACTCCATCTCAGAGCAATACAGATAACGAGTAAAAAGCCAAAGACAGGTACTCTTACCCTTGAGGACTATTTTTGGCCAGCAATCTTGAAGACGTTTTCTAATATTTCACAATTTTCAAAAATTAGTTCTCTTTCTTTGTTTTATAGCAACAAACTCTGTAATCTTTCACTCACACTATTTACTCTGTGGAATGAGAATCCAGTTTTCAGATTTCCTTAATGCACTTTCAGACCTGAGGTTAATAACTGCCTAGAAGCCCCTAAATTTGTAAGCAGATGTTTAAGAGAAAAAGAAACAGAATAGGGCAAAACTTAGGAACATGGACAAACATTTTACAATGTGCATTAAGAACTACCTGTTCTAAAATTACATTAGACATCTGTGATCTGTTAAAAAAAATGCAAGATACTTCATCTGCTAAAAGAAACGCAACTAGTTAAAAGCTGTTCTACACACTACAGACTTAAGTTAAGCGTTGTAATTAATTTAACTGAATAAATCCTACTTACAAATAACATAACTGTATTTTACACATCTGGGAACTAAAACTTTAAACCATCCATTCATGCTACAAACAATTTGTCTACAATTAACTTCTTTCATGTTTCTGGTGGTGCATGTCAGATTATGGCATACATTAAATTTACTGATCATCTATCAACTGAATTCTAATTAAATTTCTCAATGAGAATTTTATCATAATTATGATCCAAACTGATAACTGACTGTTAGTCAATCAATCAATACCAAGACACTGAAAAGTCAATATGATAACATAAAAAGATAAAAAGGAGACTGTCATTGTCAAATGTGTAGCATTCTATGAGACATTAAAATAAATTTAATGTTTTCATGTTTAACAACCAACCATGAACAATGAAATTATATTGCACATTACTAATAAATTATTAAACTGGAATATTAATCTTTGTCTGAGAATAGATTCTTGAAAATACAGCTAGCAACAATTTTCAACAGGAAAACTATATAATATCTAAGAGGACCAAGTAACATACCTTCATGTCAAAACAAAAAAAATTACAGACAGCTACTATGATCATCTGTGTTTTGGAATATCTAGCAGTGAACAGTGTTCAACGAGGGAAATAACTCACATGACCGCCTAGTTTGTCTTCTTTCCGCCGTTTTAGGTCGGGGTCGACATCTGGTGACCTTGAACGGTACTTTTCTCTTTCTGCAGGGGACACAGAACTCCGCTGAAACATGAGAAATAGCATTAAGAATATATTAATTATGTAAAAGGATGAGGCTGATTTTAAGGTAAAGCACAACAATATGGCATAGATAGAAAATTAAGAATAAATCATTACAAATATGTAACATAAAACTGGGGAATAGATAGAAGAAATAATCTTTTAAGTTAACTTATGCTTTTTATGTGTAAGTTCGGAGGACTGGAATAGAAACCTTACAAAGTACTTCGTCTTTGGTCACATGAATGAATCAGCACCTATGAAGAGTACTATCCTCTACGATGTAATGCCATGTCATCTGGTAGAAGTCCACCAGTTACCAGCAACGTCGTGGTGAGTTTTTGCTTGGCTTGCCCTTCAATAGTGAAAATGAGGCTGTGTGGTCCTCCGAAACATTGGAGAACTTCGCCAAACTACATAGCATTACATCCCAGAAGAGAATACTCTTCTTAATCACCTGTTAGGAACTCTAATCGCACAATTAACTTTACACTGGTTCTGGTGAGTGGGGGGAGGAAGATACCACCACTGATGACGCTACTGATACTGATGATGATGATGATGAGGAGGAGGAGGAGGACAATGATGACAACAATAACATCAACAACAACAACAAGATACAGTTCATTTAAGACCTAAAATCCAAGATACAATCAGACATATTCTTTATAAGAATTAATATTTAAAAATAGCATCCACTATTCCTTATATGAAAATCTAGCTGCAATTAACTTTTACTATTCCATATAATTTCTAAACATTAAGTACAATGCCTCCTGTTTTCACATAAGCTTTGAATCATCAGAGTGGAATTCATTGCCACATTTAGAAAAAAGGATGCACACTGATAAAAACTAAAAAAAGTAAAGGTATCCCTGTAACAGGCCGTGGAGGCCCATAGGGTTGTGAGATGTTGGGGTTCCCACATTTTCTAGACAATTGGCTCATAGATGGCGGTAAGGTTGTCAGCCTTACACACCGGCTGCCTTTAACCCCCAAGAATATTCCTGGTACTCTTTTCTGTTAGAAGGTGAGTTGACCACAGGGCCATAGTGCGGCTGGAAGGATTAGGTCACTTGAAAAAAAAAAATCCAATGACATCACTGGGACTTGAACCCTCGACCTTCCAGCTTGTAGCATAGTGCCTCAACCAACTACACTACCGCGTTCCCCGATGCACACTGATATTCCATCTTAAACTAGAAACTGGTTTTTAGGAAAGAAAGATTCAAGAAGGAAGAGCTGAAAATGTGCATCACAATGTAATTTGGTTGTGGATTTACAAAAAAGGTAGTTCACTGACTTGAAACCCCTTAACCAAACAAAATCCTTGTAATGCCACTAATTAACTAAATCTGAGTAGGATTACAAATGTGATTGCATAAATTGTATGTGGGTTAAGTAAATCATGTGACTTTATCACTTCTCCTTTAAAACAGTACAAAATTTATTTGTAACATGTATTTTGTATTTATGAAAACAACGTCCATTAATACAAGCAGTTTATTCTGTAGCAACGCCTTATGATTGAATTTGTAAGTGAACATGGAGTATTTATTTGAATACGTGCTTACTATTCCCATCTAATCAACTTCATGTCAAAATTATATGAGCAAAGAGAGTTATGCTATATTCTTACTACAATGCTATTATAAATGTGCCAGTGGTAACCACAGTTTTTAAACTAACCTAATACCAATACCAAACATACTAATGAAGTTGTAATCCACAATAATCAAACATCAAATGCAACCAAATTAGAAAGGTAAATCTTCTGTCTATATTACCAGAATAGGTAACCCCCAGCCAACAGCAGACTTGCTTTTCCATTATCATCAAACACACGATTTAAGCTCCTCTATATACACCAGTCTCAATCCCTAATTTACAGTGAGAACAAAACAAAGAGAGATGTTTGTTACTGCTTATAATTTAAATGCTTCTCTGCATTCATTGGCACATAATACAGGAATATCTGCTACCTTTTCAATTACACCATTTAGAATAAACAATAAATACAACAATTCATGACACATAGAGTGCAAATGGGAGAATAACACATGTGATGTGTTTCAGAAGTACATCTCATAGAAATCATAACTGTACTCCTTGCTGTAAACATCAATTCTTTCATTTTTATTTTCCCACCTTTTGAAATATGCTGAAATTTAAGCAGACAGGAATAGCAAGTGAGTGACATGCATAAGAAAATTAAGAGAATCACCAATCTTTCTAGTACCAGGCCTATTGAGACCTGGCATGGTTATTAGAAAACAATTCCTCCAGCATTTCAGTGGCCATCCCAATTTTTCTTTTTCATTCTGGATGATATTTTAAGATTTTTCAGAATCCTGTCAGAACTCATCCTGTTAATGTGTTCTTTCCAGTTTCTTCAGTCTTGTTCTATAAATTCTAATAGGCGTGGAATCAGTAGTTCTCCCATATTTCCTCATTTCTGTTATGGTGTACATTGCAAACCTTTGCATGAAACACAATTCAGCTGATATTAACCTTCTTTGCTCAGTTCTTCCTACTGCCCAACCCATGACACACTACTACACAGAGATAAATAAACGAAACACCTGCAGCCTTACACTTAGAAGTTTCTTACCACCTTTCCTGTCCTATTACTACAAGAAGAGTAAAAAATATGCAATGTACTTGGTCATTTCTAAGGGTAGTAACAGAAAATTAAGTTTTAAGTACATATCTATATGACATTAATCAAACACAGAATATTTAATTATTATAATCTTCATGATTACACCTAGTATACTATGGTAGTGTAGTATGATTGGTCACAGTGCACAGCTCAGTATGTGCCTTCCACCAAATCATGCTACAGCATTCTTCTGGTGTAATGTTATGTTTCATTACTGGTCTGGCTGGGTTCACGTGGCAAATGACCTGCACTACAAAATTAAAACAGCAAGCCTGAAATGGGTCACATGTGACACTACTGGAACAAAACATGTACACCATTTTAGTGGGAAAACCTCACACAAGGAACAGGCTGCTGACTGGTAACACAAACTTGTATTTCTTCATTTTACTTACCAGCCTCTCTTCTGGCAAGGAGCTGGGGCCTTTGATATCACTGGGGTCACGAGGGTTGTGTAGGTCGGCAGGTTTAAGGAGAGGGTGTTGCTGCTGGGCTGCTGCTGCTGCTGCTGCCGCCGCTGCTGCGAGCGGAGCAGAAGCTGCGCCAGGAACTGCACCAGCCCCCAGGCCACCTCCAAATGCTAGAAGACCACCTGGACCCATTCCAGGAAGGCCAGGATGAGGAGCCATGGGTAAAGATGGCCCATGTGCAGCATGTGGCAACTGCTGGGCATGGATCTGCTGCTGCAGCATGAATAACAAGGTAATTCTTACTAAGCGGAACTGGCCTTATGAACAGCATTAACTTTTTTCCATTCCATCACTCTTAACTTGTAAATTCTGTTTTGTTATAGTTTTGTTTACATTTACAGTTATCCCCTGTTATATGACATGTACTATTCACAAATAAACCAACAAGATAAATGTTTCATAAACTAAACTGAAGCAAGTTCAAGGTAAGTTGCAATGCAAACTATTTACCATAATTCCACAGTGAAATAAGTTTGCATAAGCCATCAAGATATCAACGGAAGATAGTAAGGTATGGGGAGTCAGCAATGGACAATATTTAATCTTTAGGTGAAATGAGCTCAAATAATCACAAAAAAATAAATGTTTTCTGAAAAAAATTACACAAACTATCTCTTCCAATAAAGGCAGTGGTAATTTATGTGTTGCCCAATCCATGTATATTCACAATTAATTTTCATTAATACCAAAAATGTATACTGTCACATTACCGTTTTCAGTTAGCATCTGAACTGTGCATACAGTCCCCCCTCTGAAAAATATCACTGGACAGTGATTTATAAGAATGTCATAGCTTTCATTTTATGTCTATCTGTTTATTTTATTTAAATGAATTGTTTTTGACACTGTCAACTGACAAGTTATACATTGTTTGAGCAATGATGGCCCTCTGTCCCACTAACAAACACTGATCCATACAATCAGCTGACAGAATTTCTGGTAAATAATTTGTTAAAACCATTATTGTTTTGTAAAACTCACTGCACTGGTCTTAACATCTATGAACAAAGATGCATTATTTGTCAAGTTTTATTGAATAAAATAATTCATGATGTTTACAATGATGGATACTGAAGAGAACAATCTACTAGACTTAACACCCAACATCCCAAAAGATGGCAGCCTTCACAGTCATCATTGCGAGATTAAATCTCATTTCTTAAATATGACAATAAACACTTATCATGGATGTCCTCACATAAATACTGAGAGATAAAATTAGTATAAAATGTAGTGCAAATGCAACCCACAAACCTACATAGGACACATGCCTCACCCTTCCTTGTCATAAATCTAACAGGATTAACGGGAATTTTATGCAACAAAAATTCTTCCATTTTACTTTAGGTCTTCCTAAATATCGTTTTACTCCTGATATATTTATTTATACACTGCCACACCAGGGATCCTTATTATTTCTCATTTCTTCGTTATTTCAATACTGTCAGAGAGGGCGCCCCACAATAACAAGACTGTAACTGTCAAACAGTAATAAATATCTGGTCATGAGCTTGACTGAGTAACTGACTGACCTTCAGTCACAATGTGACTCTGACTTTGACACCGTCCCTAGGGGATAAAAATATGGGGACATTTTGAGGGAGTCCAGAATGTGAGACAGTACAATGTGGTCATGAGTCCTGCAGGACCCAGACCTGAGAATAACTGCGCTGGCGAGGACCAGCAGCAATTGTAAACGACAGACCCATCTTCTAATCAGAGAGGTTTTACATGAGGGCTATAACTGCCAGTGTTCGGTTGAAAATAAAATTACTGGTAGTGAGTCTCAAGGGACTCGTCGCCAAGAAGAACTGATGGGCGGTAAACAACCAGTCATAAAGTAAATATGACTCTGACTCTAGGAATAGATTGACTAGAGCGAGAGCAAATTGGAATCTGGAGGTGCGAGCATCAAGAGAACTGAAAAAGAATTAGAAGTCAGCCTGTAAAGACTTAGTGTGTGATTAGAAGATTTCGTCACAGCGAGACTGTTTTAATTCTGTTACCAGATGACAAGTGAAGACTGAGACTCCCAGTACCTGTGTAACAGTGTAAATCAGCGACAGTGCTGTACTAGTTGTCATTAAGAGGTTAATAATCCACTCATCCAATTCAGAACCTGCGTTATTAGTCACTAATACACGCGACAATATGTTACTTCCATTTTCTTCTACAATGTTATGTAACTATCATTATTTCTTCATCTCTTTTACAATATAATGATGTCACTTGCTGTTTGTTTCATGAAATAGATGTCAGTTGATGTAAAAGAAAAACACCACAGTTGGCAAGGACAAAGCATCATGGGATAGTCTGGCGCAGGAACATCATGGCTGATGTCAACACTCATCTGAGATTAAGCCACTTGTTTCTTCACTCAACAGAAAAGACACATAACATTAGATACAAAATATTAAAGATTCAAAAAAGGCATATCATAGCAGTAATCTGGAAGCTATAAACTGGTATAGGGTGCCATCATAACCCTACAGCAGCTAGTGGGGATCAATTGATGTGGACGTACTATTCAAATTAAATTAAAGATACAACAGTTAGCCTAAGTGAATACAAATGGGGATCTGTGGGAAATTCTCACTTGTAAAAAAAAGATGAGGTAATGTTGCATACCTACAGTACACGACTTTCAGGATAAAAACAATTAAACCTGCTTCATGCCTTCAGATGGTTTGAGTAAAATGTGAGTTGCAGTCATTATGTTATTTTGTCCTGTAACATTTCCAACAATAAGGCAACAAACTTTCACAAATCTCAAGTACTCTCTTACAGATAAAAGTATTGTGAGGTTGAAACACACATGCATTCTGCCACAGAAATATGATTATGGAGTCATGTTCAAAAAAAAAAAAAAAAGACCAACATGGAATTCCCGTAAGCATAAATCACGGCTTCTCAGATGAGGGAGGTGGAGATATGATTAGTCTTTCAACAGATGTGAAAGGTAAAACCTGTAACTTTCACTTAATGTTTTGTATGGGCATGCAACTTAGTATCCCATCCTAAAGGTTCGGGCACACAGAGAGCTATGCTATGTTCACTACGTATGCTGTGTACACTTTGCGACGCAGCTAACATAGGGAACATAGCGTACATAGCGTATGGAAGTCTTGTGTGGCCAGTCACATTGGCAATAAAGGGAGATATTTTTCTGTTCGTATAGCGAACATAGCGTATGTAGCGCTCTGTGTGGCCGAACCTTAAGAGAAGAACAAAACCGTAGCCGAGAACTAGACCCAAGAAGCAGGATGAAATAGAAAGGTGGAAACACTGAATACAAAACAATTTCACAATGTGTGCGCTTCCTCAGAGATGATTAGGGTCATATAATCAAAAAGATGGTATGGCTGGGACATACAGAATCCATGGAGGGAGCAGAAAACTATCACAAAACTTTAATCAGCAAACCTGAAGTGAAGACAACAATTCTAGAAGACCTAGTTATAGTTTGGAAAATATTCAAGTATACCTTACAGAAAGATGGGAAGATCAATATGGAGACTGGATTAATCTGGCTCAAGACATGATCCAGGAGTAAAAAGGTAAAGCTATCCCTGTAACAAGGCGTGGAGGTCCACAGGGTTGTGATATGTTGAGGTTCCCACATCTAGACAACCGCCTCACTGATGGCTGTAGATCCTTACCCCTCGGCAGCCCTCTACCCCCCACCCAGGAAAATTCTTTGTACTCATTTCTGTTAGAGGCTGAGTCGACCCCATGGCTCTAGTGAGGCTGGAACGATTACGTAACCCGGGGGAAAAAAAAAATTCAATGACCTCACAGGGAATCGAACCCCCGACTTTCCGGCTTATAGCATAGTGCCTCAAAAAACTACGCTACCGTGTACCCACGATCTAGAAGTGGGCTCTTTTTAAACGCAGCAAATAAGCACTGGATTCCATATCTTTTTTGTATGTATGTATTTTTTTAATGCTTGGTGGGATGGGACTAAGTCCACTTGGTACTGCGGCCACTTCTGGCCTATTGTACCAGCCCCAGATGATAGGTGAGGGTGATTACGGAGCAATTGGCGGAATGAAGATTGGCAGGGGAAACCGAAGCACTCGGAGAAAACCTGCCCAGCGCCACTTTGTCCACCACAAATCCCTGCCAGTCTTCATCCCACCAATTGCCCCACAATCACCCTCACCTATCATCTGGGGCTGGTGCAATAGGCCAGAAGTGGCCGCAGTACAAGGGACTTAGGTCCCACCCCACTAGCAATAAAAAAATGTATGTTTATTTATGATTCATACATAACGACGTTTTCAACAGCTCAGATTACATAGGGTTAAATGATATAAATAACGAATAGGAAAGGGTGTGGAGTAAGGCAGTTGTGGCTAATTTGGGTACCATCCCAAGATTTGTCTCGAGGGGCTCAGGAAAACTACGAACAATCTATATCCAAGCCGAGACTTGAATACGGGGCCTCACGAATAGGCGGCAGGGATGATGACTCGACTGTGATGTTCCGTGAGGTTCCATAAAAGCACCGGTATGGTTCATGACAGCCGACAGGAACTCTAACAAGCTATTAGCGACAAACACAGTATACCCCTGGATTATGAGCGAAAGGAGATTATCACAGGAAGCTTCAAAAACTGACCAGAAATAACGGACATGAAACACTGGCTGAACTTCAGCGACGGATCTGGGAAAGGAACACCTGCGGGCAGTTCAGTTTTGAATTACTGTAACTGTTGACATTGTAGTGCACATTACAAAAAACGTCAATTATCTGGTATTGTTTGTGACTAGACATGCACGCAACATCTCCTCACTCCACATGACAGTCCAGGCCTGTTTCTGAGCGTCCACCCATCAATGTTTGTTTACTTATGAAATGGAACTACATTGCCACGGGGAAAAAAATAACAAAACGACGGAACGAGTGATATGTTTTCCGACGTATTTGATCTGTCCACGCCGTAGCCATGGTGATACTCTGTTTCCAACAGATGAACTGCATGTAATTCGCAACCCATTCTCCCCTTCACACATAGCTTTGCACATCCAATTAGCAATTCCTGGGGAAAACTGTGAAACGGAGCTGAACAGGGGAAGTAAAAAAAAAAAATTAATAAAATAATTCAGAACATGGCACCACCAACGATCATCTTTTGTTTTTATTTAATGCCTAACTATTTTGTGCATACCACTTTTCTTTTGTTACAGAATGAGTGTAATTACAACAC